GATGAAATAAGATGTCATATATAAGCTCACAGAAAGTCAATTTAGTGCAGTGGTTAAGGTATCAGGTTAAAAACTGGGAGACTGTGAGTTCTGTTCTACCGTATTTCTCCAACAATACAGCCTCCACCAATAGGAAGGCCCACCATGATTTCTAAGCATGAGGTGAAATTAAGCCCCACCCCCAAAATTTAGGCCTATTGAAACCATGTGTTTCCCCACCATTTCTCACATTGTCCGTTAGAACTACACGAGGTGAAGAGAAATGGGGGGAAGGGGGGGGGAGAAAACTTGCCTTTAGGAGTGCCCTGCAGGTAGCCTAGGCTAGAATTCCCCGATCTACCGATAAAACATCAGCCGATAGAAACGGCCTCGCGGAGTAGGGAGTGTGCATGTGTGCTCTCCCCGAGGCCGCTTCTACCGGCCAATCGAAGTGGCAGGTGACTGCCCTTGGGGAGTTTCCATCACCCGAAAGACACTGCCTAATGGCGAGGGGACACAGGCTGCCATGCCTCGCCCCGAAGCAGCTGGGGACTCTGCCTTCGGGGAGCTTTTGTTGGCTGATAGAAATGGCCTTGTGGAGAGGTACGTGCATATAGGCCGCTTTAGATGGGGGAGGAAATTAAGTCACCCCTGAAAAGACGGCCTAGCTGTTTTTTCAGGGGTCAAAAAAGATAAGGCCCGGCCTTATTTTGTGAGAAACATGGTAGCAGTTGGTAAAATCAACACTGATCTGAAGTCATTCTAAAAAAGGCATTAAGCTCAAACATCCCATTAAGATTTATAATCAAATTATTAAATATAAGGAAACATATTCAGTATTAAAACATGCTTTACATAAAACAAAAATTAATATTGCTATTCATTAGTACATTATTGTGTTGTGTTCAGTGGCCTTGAAATTTTTAATAATGATTAAGGGCAGAGGTGCCAGAAGGTGTAACCGAGTGGTTTGTGTCCCTTAGTGACAAGTCATGAGTCACAATTACTGCTGTAAAGAGTGCAAATGTTACTCAAACATTTCCAAGGACTGTGGGGCATATAAAAGGTTGGGAACCACTGTTTTACAGGAATAGACCTAGAGACATTACAATTACTATGGGGTAGATTTCTTTGGAAAGACTTGTGTGATACCTGCTACAGTTCTAAATAGTATGGGCTTTACAGCTAGGTAACAATTTCCACACTGATTTTATATGTAAATACACATCAGTTTAAACAGAATCCTTTTAAAAGTATGCCATTAACAGATGCTTTGTGAATAATTCTGCTACATCAAAAACACTAGTATGTTAATTTTGATATCACATAGTACATCAATCTGCAGCCACATGGGGTCAGGCTGTTTAACTATTTTAGTAAACAAGATAGCTAAACACATCAGGCTCTTCCATCTGCATCCAACATCTTTGGACACAAGGAAAACAAAGAGAGGGCAAATAAACCAGTTTCTCAATTTTAACTATTTCAGAACTAGTCAAGGCTAAATTCAAAATATGGTAACAATTTGTGCCATGTTCTGAGATTAATAATTGATATTTTTAATCAGATGATTCAAATTATAGTGGTTTATAATTGTCATAAAATTCCTGTTTTCAGAAGACAAGGCATTGTATGCAAAGAGAGAATGTTCGGCCTTAACTTACTAATATTTGATTATCAAAAGCAAAGCAATGAAACTTACCTACCAGGAGCAATAAAGCTGCTACAATAGACAATTACAGTACATTCAAACAATCTTATTCACTTTTCAATCGCCTGAATTATTTTACTCACTGTATTTTCCCATTGCTTTTTCTTTTACAGTCTTCTTTGAAGATTTTTTATGTAAGGTCTCTTTAGAAATTTCATCACAATTGTTTTGCTTTGGGGGCGCTACTGCACGGTCTTGTGGAGATTCAGTTGCCTTTTTCCCTTTTATATCCTTTTTAAAGGATTTGTCTTTTTGATCACTTTTTAAAATATCTGACTGTGAGACAGATGAAACTTCATCTGCCTGCTTGCTTGTTTGCCTACCAACTGACGACTTTGTGGAGCTTTTTCCCCCTTTAGATTTGACCTTTTTCTGATTTGCTTTCTTTTCAGTCTGCTGACTATCAGTCTCTGAAATATCAGAATCTGAATCAGAAAGATCATAAAAACGTTTCAGATCCTCCGTAGAGGTACGATTAATTGGTCGACCTCGCTTATCCACAGTATATTTCAACTTGAATTTTTTGTCATGAAACATAGCCCGAAATCTTGAATCAATTTTGATCTTGCGGTCCTTTTCTGGCATTTCCCAAAACCGCGGATCTTTTGTGATGCGAGAAAATCGCTTATCACTCGTGAGTTCCTTCTTAGATGCCATTCTTGCTTTTTTACAAAATGCAACAAACCTGAACCTGAAAATAAAGAAAAAAATTATTATTGGATCATAAAATAAAAAAGACTGTCTTCTAAAATTAAAGGTATAAATGATAAAGTAATTTTCAGAGAAGCATATTGTAAATAGGAAATCACATTCAATCCTCCTCCTTCCACTCTAATGTTCAACATTATGTAAAATAGTAGTTTAATTTAGACATCATCACAATGTATATGAATATAAATTGATCCACTTCCCTCAGGAAATGGGACAGATGTTGCCCTTAGAGCCATCCAACATTTTTAGGTCTATTAAGGATAACATTAAGTAGTATGTTACATCCATTCACCTATGTTGAGGCTGATAAATTGAAATAACACTGAAAAAGTTTTTAAGTTGCTTTGGTTCCATTTATATCCATATCAAACCTAATAGACTTGAATAAATGTGCTATGCATTTATCAATGTGTATGTTACACTTACATCCTTTATTAGAAGATCAAAGCGGTCTACTTAAGATCCTTTCTCATATTACCCTCCACAGATATATTGTGGGGTGGCCAGGACTGGCCAAAACCAAGCAGTAAATCTTAGAACTGAGATGGATCCTAACCAATAACCAATAATCCTAACCATGCATGGAAGCAACAGGTACTAGTATATTAAATGGAGAATCTAACAACACAGCAGCTATTCCTCGTTAGCTAACATCAAACAACTACATTTTAATTTATCGTGTTGCGGGAATCAGAGTTCAACCCACTGTTCACTTTACAAAGATTTAGCACAAAAAGTGCAATGCGAAGGGAAATGAAAGTCCGATTATGTGTATCTGAGCCACGAGACAACAAAAAAGAAAAACACCCTCGCGTGAATCTCACAACCCCAGCAAAAAAACAACAACTACACTTACTTAATTACTTGTCAATCGCGCTAGTCAACCAATATTTTCAGTCGCCTGTACAGACACCGCGTTGAGCGCACGGATCGAAAGGACTTCCGTGCGCAGAAAATTTACGTCATTTCCTACGGCGGCTGGAAAGAGACAAAATTACCTTACCGTCGTAAAGGTGCCGGAGGTATGGGCGGAGGGAGGCGGGGGGAGAAAAGAGGAAGTACTGTCTCCTTGGAAGCTAGCAGACCGAACGTGCGTTGATTATTTCACAGAACTATGTTAAAGGATATTTCAAGTCTTACTACTTTGGGTCGTTTTAAAAAGATGGATTTTAATAAAATTCCTCAATCCCTCTATCGTTCTTGGTTTTCATAACACAGATCAATGAAGCACTGGCTGAGCGTAGGTTGTAATTTATCCTTCAGTATTGAATGCTGGAGCAGTGAAAGACTTCAGAGATGTAATTTGATTCCTGTCCATGTATAACAACGGGAGGGGACACAAGAGATATAACACAATAACACTGTCGTGCATTTCACCATTTATATCGGAGCTCAGACGTACAGTCCCACAATATTTTAAGTACAATGAGGCTGAAAGAGAAGCCTTTTAAAGCAACCACAACTTAGGTTTCTTAGACTGAATTTGCATGCCTCCATAAAATTGAGATTGGGTAACTTAATGCTCAATATGTCATGTAAACAAAGCCAATGAAAACTCTTTATGTTTCAGGATGTTGCTTAATCCTAGCAATTGGCTTTGTTCAATAGCGACAATGCATTAAATATGTAAAAAGTCATTTTTCCCCTTATTCTGTTATAATATTTGTATTATTTCCCCAGGGTGCAAGTCAGCAGAAATTGCAAACTAGTATTCTTCCTAGATGTCTGGGGGAAGGTTAGTTGGGCGGTTTTGGATATCCTGCAAAAGTAGGCTAGGATTGATTTCACACTACATACTAAATCCTTATTTGTTTACGGTTTATTGAATAAACCAATGGGTTGGTTTTGCACATAAGGGTCTTCAAACTTGGCAGGTTTAAGATCTGTGGACTTCAACTCCCAGAATTCCTGAGCCAACATGACAGGAGGAGGAATTCTGGGAGTTGAAGTCCACAAATCTAAAAGCTGTCAAGTTTGAAGAGCCCTGGCTTAGATAAACCCTGTCTGTAACTGATACAGACATCTGTTGTTTTTTTCTCCACTACTGCTTCCCGTTCCTTCCGAATTTTAATCCACTTGATGCGTCAGGAAAGCTTGTACACTACAGAGCAATCTTGCGCCAACTTCTATTCAAGTACATCGATTTTAGCCTCTCTCTCCTTTTCAAAGGATCATCACGTTGGACTGAAATAGCCTGAATAAAGCCATAAAAAGAACCCGGTGCGGTGAACTCAGGAGTAAGGGGTTTATTATGCTTTCCTCACCTGTCTTTTTCAAGCAATTCAAGCAGGGTCTATCTTTACATTTAGAATAGAATAGAATGAGCTGGAAGAGATCTTGGAGGTCTTCTAGTCCAGCCCCCTAAGTTAAGAAACTTCGCATTCAGATTTATTTAAAAAAAAACACACGCCTGTTTCCGCTACTGAAATATATGCAATACAAATAAGCCAATCCATCTATTTCAAATAGGTTTGTTTGCCGGCTTCAAGCTCCAAGCTAGTGTGCAGAAGTGACCTGAACTCCACGCAGGCGGATATTGCGAACCCGACAAGCGTTTGTTGCTCTCTCTTTTCTAGCTCTAGCAGCCTTTGCAAAAGCGGGCGCCGGCGGAGCAATGGAAGCGAAGGCGTTTCTGCGGGCATCGTGCCTTTGCCGCCTGCAGTCGGCGGCGGCGGCGGCGAGAGGCACACCTGGCGGGCTCTGGTTCCGCCGCCGCTGCCTCTTCCCTTCGGGGCCCGGCGTTGCGGGGTCTCGTCCCGTCACAGGGCCTGGAGCCCTCAGCCCTTTCGACCGGCAAATGAAGCGGAAGCAAAAGAATTGGGCAGCCGGGCAGCCTCACGCGGAGCGCTGCGAGTACCTGCGGGAAGAGGTAGAGGCGAAGGGGCGAGAGGAGAGGAGAGGGCGCTCCCTGTTCTTGCTGTGCCTTGGGAAAGTATTGAAAATACTTTACGGTTCTGTTGTCAGGGAAAAGCCGCAAGCAATCTAGCCTCCAAATATTGCCGAGATTGCATTCAGTGCCTTTTTAAAAAAGCCAGCCAATATTGTTATGATCCTTCGGGCAATAACGAATACATTATACTTTAAGGCATATCTTGAAAACCTTATAAGGGGTGATTAGGTTGCTGGGGATATACGTGGAGCCTGAGCAAACCTTTTAGCCTATTTTGATTTTGTATTGTCTTTTAGCCAATTTTCTTTTTCTTTTTGGTCTGTATATATCTTTCTTAACTATTCTGACATTATCGATTTAGTTTGGGACATTTTGAACATTTGATTGCCAATTATCTTTAATCAGCCCCCATAAAGTTATGTTAATGGCTGGGGTTAGATTCAAGGTCGTTTTGATTTTGACCTTACTTGGATGATTGAGATGTACATGAGATGTCAAAACTTTCGAACTGCTAAAGCAACTCTTCAGTTTTGTGTAACCTTAATTTTGTTTGTTTTTTAAGCAGCCATTGTCAGACACAGATAGTTCGTGAGTTACAAACATTTGTTTAATGACCATTCAAAGTTAGTCATTGAAAAAAGTGATTTATGATATGACTGTTGCACCATTCTGACAGTCATGTAATTAAAATTCAGGAGCTTGGCAATGCCATGTATTTATGATTCATTTAACGACCAAGTCAAAATAGTAAAATTGGGCACAACTCAACTGCCTTGCTTAGCAAAGAAAGACTTGTCCCCATTGTGGATGTAAGGCAAGAATTACTTACAGTTGGTTAAGGTACCAGACTAGAAACCTGGAGACTTTGACTTATATTGCTGTTTTAGGCACAAGGCCAGCTGGCTAAGGTTGAGCCAGTCATTCATGCTCAGCCCTAGGAAAGAGACAAGGGCAAACCACTTCTGAAAAGCCTTGCCAAGAAAACTACAGGCAATTGCCATGAGTCAACACTAGCTCAAAGTATTTTTTTTTATTTTAAATTTTATTGAACAAACAAACACAAACAAAAAGAAAAAGAAACATTAAAAACATTGAACACGGTACAATCCTCCTAACCCACACATTGTGTCTTACATTGCTAAATTACATATAAAAATAATACATATTTGCATTCTATTATATATATGTGTGTATGTATGTATGTATGTATATATAATAATTTCTTATTTGTCTTGATCCTTTCTTTTTTCAAACCAACCATGAAACTATCCTGTACTTTATAATAATCCAATTCATCCTTATTTTTTAATTCCTGTGTCAATTTGTCCATTTCTGCGCACAACCAGATTTTCCTAATTATTTCTAATTCACGTGGAGTTGCTTTACCTTTCCATTGTTGTGCATAAGCCAATCTCACGGCTGTAATTATATGAATTATTATAGGAATACACTAACTCGAAGTATTGATGACACTAAAAAGCACGCAATGTCACCAAAAAACAAAAGATACTTTAAAACTAATAACCTGATACCAAAAATGTTTATAAATTGCAGTTTATTTGATTAGATGCCACAGTGTGGTCTTCCTTGGTATGTTGTTGAGTGAACTGCAGCCGGATTATTCACATATTGCATTAAAACAAAATTCATGATTTATGATTTAACAGAACTGTGAATTAATACAACATAGTAAGTAGAGTGGTACCTTAGTACACATTGTTAAGTGGTTCTGGGAGCCATGATGAGTACCAAAAATGAGGAGTACCAAACAAATTTTCCCCATAAAGAATAGTGAGTCACAAGGTAGCCAACACTGACAAGTTCTAGTTTGTGTTGAATACCAAGCAAACAGAGAGTACTAGGAGAAAAATTTAGTGTCAGAATGTGTTGAGTACCAAATTAGATGAATTTCAAAGCAGTTGAGTACCAAGGTACCACTGCAGTATGGATCATATCCATTATTAGAATTATCAGAACTAGGATGCAGTCCTTTTTTGGACCACATGATGGCTGCAAAGAATAGGCAACATTAACTCTAGTGGTCACCTGGATTATTTACAGTGTAGTTCTAATGTAGTGACTTGGCCTGAAGTGTGAATTCTGTAATAGTTTGAACATTTTCCCCAAATCCTATGCTAAATATCAAGATTGCAAAAAAAAAAAAAAATAGCAACACAGAATATAGAATAACCAAGTTGGAAGGGACCTTGGAGGTCACGTAGTCCACCTTCTGCTCGAGCAGGAGACCAAATACCGACAAAGGGCTGCCCAGTATCTTGAAAGCCTCCAGTGCCTATCTTCTTTTTCCCCCCTGTATTCTAGGTTGGTGGTAGGATGGCCGATCGTGTGTTTGACATAAGCAGGTAAGATTTTATCTCATGTTTTTTTTTTCTCTACAAAATGAGGTGTCTTGACTGTATAATATAAATTTTATTTATTTTTATTTTATTTATGTGTATAATGTAAAATTATGCTATTTCGTTTGTTACTTGAAGTTCTTTACATTTGTCAGTATTGAAAAATGAGGACAAGGAAGTTCTGATCTATAAAACAGATGTGACTAGGTTGCTCTGTCTTTTTTCTGAACAGAAGTCTGGTCAGATATCCCTTAAACCCCACCCCTTAAAGGGCAGATAGATCTATTTGCGGATATGAGGACAGGAGAGAAAAAATTGTGAACTCTTTAGTATATCTATAATCTTGAAGTATTGTGACCTACAGTGCAATCAGAGCTGTCTGTAAGATAAAAAGATTCTGATTAAACAAACAGCATACAGCACAAATATGAACTGTCTCAAGCTTTTATTGTAAATATTGAGACAATATTTTAAATGTTTTATTTTAAAATTATGTGAAATTCTAGGATAATCAGCTCATTTGACTGAGAGTCATATGTTTCAATCGAATGTTGATTTGTGGGGCTTTTCCTGTACATTTGCACTAGTGGTATTACTACCGGTTCTGTGGCGTGGCTTGATGGGCGTGGCAGGGAAAGGATACTGCAAAATCTCCATTTCCTCCCCACTCCTGGGGGTAGGTTACTGCAAAATCTCCATTTCCTCCCAACCCCACTAACCTGCTTTCCAGCTCTGTTCTCCTGTGCAGGGCAACAAAAGAAGAGTCAGCCAGATTAGCTGGGACTCTGGAGGCAGAGAATAGATGAGGGCTGGGCCAGTCAGAGATGGTATTTGCCGGTTCTCCGAACTACTCACTATTTCTGCTACTAGTTCTCCAGAACTGGTCAGAACCTGCTGAATACCACCTCTGATTTACACACTTAGGTTGCCACTCTCAGAACATGGTCTTCTTGACACAGGATTGTAGAAGTGAATCATGCCCCCATCAAAAAAGATCTAATCCACCTAAAAAAAAAAATTGATGCTTGTGAAGCTCAAAATTATTGCTGGCATGTTTGATTGAAGTAATCAAAGGTACATTCAGCAATTAAAAACGTTTTCCTATAAAAATAATGTTGGTTCAGGTTGTTGAGTGGAGACATGACAAAATACACTTCTGTCTGTGTTTCTATTTAACTGGAATCTCAGTCTATTCATACAACTTAGATGAAGCTCAGATCTCACTGTAAGTACTACTCGTTGTTCTCACTCTGCATATCAAACAAGACTGGACAAATCTGAAACCTCCAGTTGCACACCATACCTGGTTTTGGGATTCTGGAAACCTTCACCAACCACAGTAACCCAAATTTGGGAAATACTCTCACACTTTTCAACCAGGAACAGAACCGTAGTATAAGCCCTAAAATATGCTTAATATAGTTTTAGAGTGGATTTAAAATCTCATAATAATCTTAAGATTATTATGAGATTACTAGTGACGTGGTGGCTCGGCGGCTAAGACGCCAAGCTTGTCGATCAGAAAGGTTGGCAGTTCGGTGGTTCAAATCCCTAGCACCGCGTAACGGAACTCCCATTACTTGTCCCAGCTTCTGCCAACCTAGCAGTTCGAAAATATGTAAAAATGCAAGTAGAAAAATAGGGACCACTTTGTTGGGAGGGTAACAGCATTCCGTGCACCTTTGATGTTTAGACATGCCAGCCACATGACCACAGAGACTTCTTCAGAAGCGCTGGCTCTTTGGCTTTGTAATGGAGATGAGCACTGCCCGCTAGAGCCGGAAATTGACTAGCACATACATGCGAGGGGAATCTTTACCTTAATAATCTTAAAAGCAGAAAGGTTTTCTGCAGCGAAAGAAAAAATCTGTTTTCCATTTGTTGCAGCTATCAGACTAAGCTGTATATCAGACAGTTTCAAGGAAGCAACACATCTTTGAAATTTAGGATAAAATAGACCATTGATTTGCAGTTTTGCACTTTAATCCTATTTTATTTTTCATTCTTAAGGACATTTCCCCTTGCCTTGGACCTTGGGTGTGGGCGAAGCTACATTGCTCAGCATTTAAACAAGGTATTTTTTGCAGTTTGATTTCTATTCATGCAGTACAACCTGTGGATTGCTTAATAAATAACAACATTCTCTTCTATTGAAATCACATTTGACTGATTTACACAATACATCAAAATAATAATCCATGGGTTATAAACCCAAGAATGCTTGGGTATCTACAAAGCAGGAAGCTGCAGCTAGACAAATCACATTATAATACATTGTGGGAACCTGCCTAACCTTGTAAATTTGAATCAGACAACTGAACTAAGTAATCAGTCAAGCCTTTGTTGAATACTCAAAATAAGATCTAACAAATGTCACTCCTGTTTAATCATCTTCTGTCTTTATCATCTCAGCTTTTTGATATACTGTATGGTGACAAAGAAGTAACCCTCATTGGTTCAATTGGATTTTTAAGTAATTATGCAGAAGGTTAAGTGTTTTTTTCTGGTGGGACCGATCTATCAGGGCAACCTGGTCTGCCCAATTATAGGGCAGAGTATACTGCTTCGGCTTTCACCTTTCAGCCCCAATACATAAGCCTTTGCAATGTTTCAGAAGTATTTTAACAAAATAATGAACTCAAATAAATAGTTTAATGGCGCATATATACAATATTATCTTTTAATGAAGAAACAGCCTTATCACATACATCATGTTACTTTTTTTTTCTGGCTAGTCAAACAAACAGTTTTCTAAATAAAATCAATAAAATATCTGTAAATTATTCACTACCTGTTTTTCTTTCAGGATGTTGTTGAAAGGCTTTTTCAAACAGATGTGGCTGAAAATGCTCTGGTAAGATTTTTGCGTGTTATTTGTCAGCTATTAACTCATGCTACTGAAAAACTGAAAAGTTGAACTGTCTTAACTGGATTATCCTAAATTATTTTTCTTCTAATCTGATTTAGAAGAACACAATAGATTCAGAAATACCAAGAGTCAATATCATAGCGGATGAAGAATTTCTTCCTTTCAAAGAAAACACATTTAATCTTGTTGTCAGCAGTCTGAGGTAATTAACAATTGATTTAAAGTAGACAGAAACATCTATAGCGAGAATAGTGATTTTTGTAATTGGGAGCCTTAGGTTCTAAAACTGTTTCTAAGATTGCAGTTTTGTGTGTTAGTATAATATATTATATTTCCCTAATATAATAGGGAAATCAAGAGTTTCGGGTAGTTCAAATGAGTATAAAGTTTCATTGCAAGCTTAAACTCTCGACAAGAATCTGAACTACTAACAGTCAAAGGAAATAAGCGGGAGTTAAGGAATTCAAGGTAGGCTGAACTTAGATCTCTTGTGGGCGTGCAGGGACTCATGGCTGATGACGCATTTGACCTCTCCCTTGTAGAGGTGGTATTCAACTGGTTCTGACCAGTTCTGAGAACTGATAGCGGAAATTTTGAGTTGTTCGGAGAACCGGCAAAGACCACCTCTGACTGGAGATTTTACAGTATCCTTCCCCTGCCATGTCCACCAAGCCACGCCCACAGAACCAAGTAGTAAAAAAAATTTAATCCCACCACTGCTCCCTTGGGCTCAGTCTGGTCATCTTCTACAATATCTGGCCTGCTATAAGAACAAGTTTGGCAAGTGCAATTTATAATTGAGAGGCTAGAAGATTAATATGAAGAAAATTGACTTTACTACATGTACTCCGGCGACGTTTCCAGAACACTGTTTTAGGAAGTGTGGTGCGTTATCTGCAGTAACAAATGAGGAAAGTTTGGCTACTAGTTTCTATATCACTATGTATTTAAGTTAAAGGGATCCAAGATGGCATCTGTTTTGAATTTGCACAATACACTACAGTGAAACTGAAATTTTGGGTGAAATGCACAGCAGAAATGATGCCACATGCATTTATGTTACTTAAGGTCATACTCTTAGTATATTATGTAAATGCAGCTCTGGTGTGGTATATTTTTCTTGTGCCAATATGCCAGTCTGAGTTTGCCATCTAAATTTTATACTGGTGAGAGAGGGTTTTTTTTTCCCTTTTGCTAACTTGCTTTCTATTGTAATTCCTTTTTAGTTTGCATTGGATCAATGATCTTCCCAAAGCCTTGCATGAAGTAAGTACACCTGTCCCCTCCCTTTAATGTATCGATATGGTGGAGAGAATAACCCTTAATCTTAACCATCGTTTTAGCATGCAGATGGCAGCTCCTGCTTGGCCTTACTTGGGCTCAAAAGCTACACTGGTTCAGGCCCAGTTAGTTCGGTAATGAGAGAGGGACAAGAAGACAGGGGACTAGACTGAGAGATTGAAATGGCATCCCAGAAGGTGGCAGTAATAAGCTACATCCTTACAGTTGCCAAGGAAACTACATCAGTGTATCCCTAAAGCAGCAACAAAATTGTCAAAGCAAGCATCCTCAACTCAGCAATAATTGTGTACGGCTAACAGCTATGATATACTGAGTTGGCAAAGAAGGAAAGGGGTGTAGTAAAGTAGCCTCCTTGAGCTTATTTCCAACAGAAATCAGATTGAAAGAGATACTGACCTATGATATTTTGATACAGCTCTTACCTTCTACACACACGCACGTTGTCCTTGACTTATGACTACAGTTGGGACCGTGTTCGGATCTGATTTTACGATCATTTTTACCATGGTTGTTTAAGCACATCACCACAGCTGTTAAGTGAATCACATGGTTGCTAAGTGAATCAAGTAGTCATCAAGCGAATTGGGCTTCCCCAATTGAATTTGCTTGTTAGATTCTGCTGGAAAGGTTGCAAATTTTGGTTACATGACCACAAGACATTACAGCCATCATAAAGGCAAGCCAAGCATCCAAATTGCAACCACATGATCACAGGTGTAGTGTGACAGCTGTTACTTCAAGGACAGCTTGTAAGTCACTCTTTCAAGGTTGTCATCACTTCAAACAAATAGTCATAAGTCAAGGACTACCTGCAAAGTCTGTCCACTTGTAATATACTTATCTGCTCACAGTTAATACAGCAAAGTGGATAAAATTCAGTCCAGGGCAGCTGTTATGGTTAGCTGGCAGCAGGTATGGATGGCTGAGGAGAGCAAAGACTCAGATGAAGGGCCAGGACCATTAGGGAGTAGACTGCTGCCTTCAGAGATTGTGGGGGCTGGCAGCAGTGATGAGGAGGTTCCCAAGGAGCCTGTGCCAAGTGCGCGTGCGTGCGTGCAGGATCACTCGGAGGAAAGAGCAGCAACAACAGCATGGGTGACTCAGGAATAAGGCTGCAAGGTCATGGCCCCTCCTTCAAGAAGATAAAAGCCAGCCGTGAAACAAATGTTTTTTGTAGAAGGCAAAGACGTTTTGAACCTCCAGCCTCGTGGACATTCCAGTATCCTGAGTTTGTATTTGAAGATTCTTGTATTGCAAATTATTTCATGCCTGTTATCTTTTGGCAGTCTGGCACAGTTTGGCAAGACTTATACTTATCCCAGCTAATTATTCTGCAGAAGCATTAAAAGGTTTCTGTTCTCTTTGGATTGTGTTTGATTTGTTGGAAAAGGGTGTGGGTCAGAATAGCAGGATTCAGTAATCCATAACCCACATGCAACTATGATCAGTCTATAACGATCCAGATTGGCCACATTCTTTTCTTTGCTACCAATTGATTACCAGATGGGAAGAAGAAGATTGCTCTTTTGACAGCTACTAGCAGCAGCAGCAACAGAAGTGCAATATTCTTGTTCCTTTCTTATTCTCCCATCCTATCTCAAGGTTTGTACTTTATCTCCGTGAATAATAATATTGGGCCTTTGGTGGCGCAGTGCTTAGAATGCAGTATTGCAGGCCGACTCTGCCTACTGCCAGGAGTTCGATCCTGACCAGCTCAAGGTTGATTCAGCTTTCCATCCTTCCAGGGTCGGTAAAATTGGGACTCAGATTGTTGGGGGCAATATGGCGATGTTGCAAACTGCTCAGAGACTGCTGTAAAGCATTGTGGAGTTGTATATCAGTCTAAGTGCTATTGCTGTTAAAGTTTTTTCTGCCAGGAGTCGCACCCAGATATTTATTCTTCCTCATTTGAAAGGGAGTGTGCTGTCTGTTTTGGGGGAAACACCTGTTTTTGCATGCATATACATCTGTGTGTGTATTATTGATGTATAACCCTGACTTGTAGCTGCTTCTGCATGTAATTTCCAGAGCCCAAAAGATCTCTCACTTCTGAATTAGAATATTGATCCAGATGTTTGGGGGCAATTCATTGTTGAACTTCTCATATAATACTTCTCATAACAATTGAGATGTGTTAATTTGGATCCTACATCAAGCTGGGCGGCCGTTTCCAATTCCACTAATTGCGGCGAATGCATTGATTAAATATTTCTTGTATTATATATCCAATGAGATTTAAGAAAGAAGTAGGCCTAAGTATTGTATAGTGACTTTCAGTGGCATGCTGCATTACAATGAGATTGGTGTTTACTCTGAAGTAAGACCTTACCATTCAAATATAAGAAAGGCTATATTAGATCTTTATTAATGCCTGGTTTAATTGTGATTTGTTTTAGGTACACCGAGTCCTTAAACCTGATGGAGTATTTATTGGTTCTATGTTTGGGGGAGACACACTCTTTGAGCTCCGCTGCTCTTTGCAACTAGCAGAACTGGAAAGAGAAGGTGGATTTTCTCCACATGTGTCTCCTTTTACAGCTGTGAGCGACCTAGGACATCTACTGGGAAGAGCTGGCTTCAACACACTGACAGTGGTAATTACCGTGTTTCTCACAAAATAAGGCCGGGCCTTAGTTTTTTTTGACCCCTGAAAAAACAGCTAGGCCATCTTTTCGGGGGGGACTTCCCCCCCCCCCCCCCAGAGTGGCCCATACGCACGTACCTCTCCACGAGGCCATTTCTATCGGCCAACGAAAGCTCCCCAAAGGCAGAGTCCCCACACGCTTCAGCGCGAAATGTGGCTGCACATATCCCCTTGCCTTTAGGCAGTCTCTTTTGGGTGATGGAAGCTCCCCAAGGGCAATCACCAGCCACTTCGATCGGCCGGTAGAAGTGGCCTCGGGGCGAGCGCGCACAAACACACTCCCCTCGCCACGAGGCCGCTTCTATCGGCAGACGAAAGTTCCCTTGAAGGCAGAGTTCCCAGCCGCTTCAGCGCGTGGCGTGGCTGCCCATGTCCCCTCGCCTTTAGGCAGTCTCTTTCGGGCGATGGAAGCTCCCCAAATGCAGTCACCAGCCACTTCGATTGGCTGGTAGAACCGGCCTCTGGGCGACCGCGCGCACCCACACCCACACCCACTCCCCTTGCTGCGAGGCCGCTTCTATCGGCAGCGGAAAGCTCCCTTGAAGACAGAGTCCCCAGCCGCTTCGAGGCAAGGCGTGCCTATACATCAGGTTCCCAACTGCAAACTCAATGCAACTGCAAGCTCAATGCAATGTACATATGCTGTTGTCAAAATAAATATCAGACGACCCCAAGATTCCCGCTGCATTTCTACTTCCTGAGCCGCTCTTCTTCGTCCCCTCAGATAGCCCATTCCCCCCCCCCCCCCCCCCTGATTTCCCACTGCAACCATTTGGATCGCAGGAGGGTTGCTAAAGAAGCTTTTGTCTTCTCCTGCCCCACTCTTTTAAACTTCTCTCTGCAGCCCTGGAAATCCTCTCCTGGGGACTCCATCCCAGCTCCAACCCTGTTTAGTTTTCATCCTTGACAGGTCCCCTCCCAGGTGCTCTCTGGGAATCCAAGGCTTGTTTCCTCCCCCCCCCCCCAATCTCTGACTTGAGCAGAGCAGGCACTGGGGTGGGCAGAGAGGGGGCGGAGTGGAGGGGCTCCTGGTTTTTTTGCCTGAGCTGGGTGAAGATCATCCTGGTGGCCCCAAAGGGTGGTCTTTCAGATTGCTTTAATGATTAACAGGACGCTTCCCTGAACCCCCCAACTCCCTCCAGTGGGGAGGACGGTGTCTTGCTGGGCCCGGGAGAGATGATGGCTGCATTGCAGGGGAGAAACACTCCCCCACCAAAAAAGCCCCTTGGGGAAACGTAAATGAATGAATAAACTCAAAGGGTCTTGTGACAAACACCCCCCACCCCAGGTAAATTGCACCAACAAAAGAAAGGTGGCGGAAGAGCAGGGACCTTCAGGTTCAGAAACTGTTGGTTAAGCACAAGCTGCTACTTCTTCCCTTCCTGCCCTCATTTCACGTTGCCTTTGATCACAAAGCAAATCTTAATGATAAACAACCTTTTTGTAACTTACCCTGCATGCCAAATCCAGCCACCACCCCCAGGGGAACCACAAAGCGACACCCCAATTTATTAAAAATCCACCATTTTAATAAAAATAAATAAACCAAGCCATTTATTCAAATACAGGAACAATTTATTCAAACACAGGAACAATTTATGCAAACATACGTAGGAACAATTTATTCCAAAACAGTTATGTCATCTTCTAGAACATCGTCATAACACTTCAAAGCCTGAATTCCGCCTGGCAGCTCTTGTGATTCCATTGCCTGTAAAGGAATTCGTCCCAATCGCTGATGTTTAGCAATAGAGGTCTCCTTAAAGGAGTATCTCTTGTCCATGTATCCCGCCTCTCTTGTCCATGTATCCTGAGCATTGGCAACACAGGTGTCAGTGATAGGATCCCATGCTTTCTTCACCCAACTCGCAACCTCTGCCAGGCTAGGCTTCACAAAGTTTCCTCGTTGATTTCTCTCCATGCGATTCTCAATATAGTCATTGATTTGTACCTGCTGATTGTCCTTGAATGGTTTGTTTACTGCAAAGTCTAGGGTTTGGAGATGTGCTGTCATTCTTGCTGGGATCATTATTTGATCCACTCTTCTTTGTGCAAGGAAACGCTTCATGTCTTTGGCACGGTGAGTGCTGGCTGCATCCCATATCAGCATGCCTCTTTGGCCACCTTGCACAACAAGTGGCAGTATTAACTCGATCCACTTCCTTATAACACCCTGTGTACACCAAGCCTTTTCGGTTTCAAGCACATAAGTCCCTGAAACATGTTCAATTTTTTCTTTTTTGTCCTTGGCAATGACAAGAGGTGCTACTTTTGTTCCATCCAGACGAATGGCCTAGATGCACATAATACGTGCACTTTCATATCCAGTTGATGAAATGTAAATTGACGAGGCACGCCTCTTATCAATTGTTGTTTGAGCCTCTTGGCCCCAAAAAACTGCAGCCTCATCCATCGCAATCATGTGAGAGACATTATATTTGGAGAAATCAATGTCATCAACAAATGATTTAAAAGCAAGTGCCCTTTGACAATCTCAGCATCTTCTAGCTTGAAGAGTGAGGTGGATCTCCTCAGAGACAATCCATATTGCTGAAGGAAGCCATCCAGCCAGCGATGAGAGGCTTTGAATTCTCCTTGGGTAATTTCAAACTGTGGTGCCATTGCAAGGGCAAATGCTTGAATATCAGCCCTGTGTACAACCAAAGCCTTTGCTCTCCTGTCAGCAATCCATTGAGCGATGGTGTCTTCAAGTTCAGGATATAATGGATGCCGACCTGATCCACACCTGCACTTCTTGGCATTTCCCTTCTGCACCTGTTGACTGAGGTTATCATACTCAGCTCTCCATTTTCGGACCATACAGAGATGCAACACATTCTCTTTGCAAAACGCGGTCAGATTCTTACCACGAGAATCCTCCACGATTGCTTTCTTGAATTCCACAGACCACAGAGTAGCTCTTTCTTTTTAAACTCATCTTCTCTCTAGACCAAAATAAAAATCACTTTAGATCATTAACTCAATTAATCAATTAACCCAAACACATTAAGCCACCTTGGGGTGGTGGCTGGGATTTGGCATGCAGTTGGTCAGTTACAAAAGGGTTGTTTATCATTAAAATCTGCTTTGTGATCAAAGGCAAAGTGAAATGAGGGCAGGAAGGGAAGAAGTAGCAGCTTGTGCTTAACCGAGTTTCTGAACCTGAAGGTCCCTGCTCTTCCGCCAACTCTCTTTTGTTGGTGCAATTTACCTGGGGGGGAGGGGGGGTTATCCCAAGACCCTTTGAGTTTATTCATTCATTTACGTTTCCCCAAGGGGCTTTTTTTTTTAGGGGGGGGAGTGTTTCTCCCCTGCAATGCAGCCATCATCTCTCCCGGGCCCAGCAAGACGCCGTCCTCCCCACTGGAGGGAGTTGGGGGTTCAGGGAAGTGTCCTGTTAATCATTAAAGCAATCTGAAAGACCACCCTTTGGGGCCACCAGGATGATCTTCACCCAGCTCAGGCAAAAAGCCCAGGAGCCCCTCCACTCCGCCCCCTCCCTGCCCACCCCAATGCCTGCTCTGCTCAAGTCAGAGATGGGGGGGGGGGGGGGGGGGGGGAATGGGCTATCTGAGGGGACGAAGAAGAATGGCTGGCTCAGGAAGCAGAAATGCAGCGGGAATCTTGGGGTCGTCTGATATTTATTCTGACAACAGCATATGTACATTGCACTGAGCTTGCAGTTGCATTGAGTTTGCAGTTGCATGGAGTTTGCAGTTGCATTGAGTTTGCAGTTGGGAACCTGATGCATAGGCACGCCTTGCCCCGAAGCAGCTGGGGACTCTGTCTTCAAGGGAGCTTTTGCCTACCAATAGAAGTGGCCTCACGGCAAGGGGAGTTTGTGTGTTTGTGTGCGCTTGCCCCGAGGCTGCTTCTACGGCCGAAATGGCTGGAGACTGCATTTGGGGAGCTTCCATCGCCCAAAAGAGACTGCCTAAAAGTGAGGGGACATGGGCAGCCACGCCACGCGCTGAAGCGGCTGGGAACTCTGCCTTCAAGGGAGCTTTCGTCTGCCGATAGAAGCGGCCTTGCGGCGAGGGGAGTGTGTTTGTGTGTGCTCTCGCCCTGAGGCCGCTTCTACCGGCCGATCAAAGTGGCTGGTGACTGCATTTGGGGAGCTTCCATTGCCCAAAAGAGACTGCCTAAAGGCGTGGGGATAAGGGCAGCCATGCCACGCCCTGAAGCGGGACTCTGCCTTCAAGGGAGCTTCTATCGGCTATCAGGGTATTCTAGCCTAGGCTACCTGCAGGCCACTCCTAAAGGCCAGTTTTCTCCCCATCCCCCCTACCCTTCCCCCCCATTTCTCTTCACCTCGTGTAATTCTAATAAATGATATGAGAAATGGCAGGGAAACGCATGGTTTAAATAGGCCTAAATTTGGGGGCGGGGCTGAATTTCACCTCATGCCTAGAAATCATGCTGGGCCTTCCTATTGGTGGAGGCCGTATTGTTGGAGAAACACGGTATCTATTACAAGAAAGGAACAATCCAGAAAACTACAACAGCTGTTAGTCACCACTTGTTATCTTGCTTTGACTGAAAGAAATATTTAAGTTGTGGTGTATGCCTTATACCAAGCAGACATAGGAACCAGACCACGAACTGGAATTAATATAAAAATAGTCCTCAACTTATGACCATAATTGAGCCCAAATTTTTGGTTGTTAAAGGAGACATTTGTTAAGTGACTTTTACCCCATTTTATGACCTTTCTTGCCATAACTGTTAAGTGAATCACTGCAGTTGTTTTAACATGGATGATAAGTGTATCTGGCTTCCCCATTAATTTTGTTTGTCAGAAAGTCACAAAAGATGATCATATGACACCTCCCTCCAGGGCACTGCAACTGTCACAAGTATGAATCAGTTACCAAGAATCTGAATTCGGATCACATGACCCTGAGGATGCTGCAAAAGTTGTAATGTGAAAAACGGTCAGAAGTCACTTGAAAATGACGTAACTTTGAACAATCACTAAATGAACTGTTCTAAGTCGAGGACTACCTTTATTTAACTTTGGCAATTGATCTATAGAGACTTGGCTGAACCTGCCGTCTCTAATAGACTTCTCCATGGATCTAGATCTGAGGGAGAAGAGCTTTACCTGCTAAAGCAGGCATCTCCAAACTTGGCAACTTTGAGACTTGTGGACTTCAACTCCCAGAATTCCCCAGCCAGCGTGGCTGACTGAGGAATTCTGGGAGTTGAAGTCCACAAGTCTTAAAGTTGCCAAGTTTGGAGACCTCTGTGCTAAAGTCCCCTGGATTTTAGCAGAAAGACTTCAAAGTCTCAGATTGTTCAAGTTTCCCTATCCTGGTCATTTAATCAAAGTAGTTGAATGTCTCCCCTCTCCTTTCCAACCATTCGGGGATATTCCAGTATGATCAATGGTACCAAAAGAGATCAAGGAGGATTGTGCTTCCCCAACCTCACACACCACCAAGTAGTGATGGGATTCAATTTTTTTTTATTACCGTGGCTTGGTGGGCGTGGCAGGGGAAGGATCAGGGGTGGGATTCAGATTTTTTAACCGATTCTGTGGGTGTGGCTTAGGTGGTGAGTGTGGCTTGATGGTCATGTGACTGGGTGGATGTGGCTTGGTGCTCATGTTATTGGCTGGGCGTGGCCTACTCAATATCACTCACATCGAGGCACGCATCTCCTCGCCTGGCTTCTCATGTCTGTGGGGATGCAGCAACAGTCATAAGTGTGAAAAATGGTCATAAGTCATTTTTTCAGTGCCATTGTAACTTTGGTCATTCCACACAAGCAAAGTACCAGCAAAGGAGGGGGAAAATATTCCAGAGAAGTTCCTGAGACAGGAAGTCTAGTCCTGCCAAGAATGTAATAAGGGTTAACAGAGAGGCAGTTTCTGTAAGCAACACCAGAATGTTTCCTTCCTGCCTTCCTTACAGGATTAGGCCAGTAATTTCTTCTAACAACTGGTTCTCTGAACTGCTTAGAATGTTAACAACCGGTTCTAGCGAATAGGTGTGAACTGGTAGAATCCCACCCCTGGGAAGAATACTGTAAAATCTCCAGTCAGAGGGGGTATTTTCTGGTTCTCTGAACTATTCAAAATTTCTGCTACCAATTCTCCAGAACTGGTCAGAACCTGCTAAATACCACCTCTGCCACCAAGTATGATCAATACAGTTTCTGTGGTGTATCCTGACCTGACAGCTGACTGCCAAGGATCTAAATAATCCATTTCCTCTAAGGCTATACCATGTAAAGGCATGTTTTTCCCCACAACATTTCTTTAAGAAGGAAGGCTGGGGATGGGTCCAAAGTCCAAAATAGGGATGGGTCCAAAGTCCAAATAGCTGGAATGTTTATTAAGTTGATGGCACACTATAGCTTTTTTCAGAAATGAAGGAAACAATCCTTCCCTCAAGGAAGGACTAATTACTGCTTCGATCCAACTTCCCGCCATCTCACAGGAAACCTTAGCGAGTTATCAGAAACAGAGACCCACCTGAGAAGTGGTGGAACTGGCATTGCAGATGGTTCTATCTGCTTCCTTGGAACACAAACTCAGAATGATTCCAGTTCACAAGAGGACATCCCACAAATTTCCATTGTGTTAGTCCAGGCGAAGTCTAGCTCCTCTTAAATCTAAGCAGTTTTAATGCTAATTCTTCCCAGCAACTCTTCAGATGCCAGTCTTGTCAAACATTCTTGAGAAAGGAGCAAGTTGCATTATAAGGGCTGCTGGATGTCAGTAGGATGGCAACATATTTTGGTTTTGCTGCTAAACATGAGCTTGTATCAGTATCAGACATGAGGTGGGCCTTCCAGCTGTGTTCAGGTATCTTCTCAACCACTTCATATCTCTCATCTCCTCAATAAACCAAGAAACTGCAGTGGATCTCCAGATAGAGAGAGGTTGCCCCGGTGCAATCTAGTTCAGCCCCTACATGACCCATTATTCCAATGGGTGACCATAATCAAACTGCATACCACACTCTTGGGAGATTCCCCAAATGCCCTTTGACCCATTTTTCCCCATTGTGGAGAAAACTGAGTCATGCTGTAAAATTCCATGGCAGTCAAAGAGTAATCTGACTGGTGAGGGTGAGTAAAACCACCCTTTTGCATTGTCTGAATTTCTTTTTAAATTGTTCCCGTCTGTTTTTGGGTCTTGTTTACCTTGAAAACAAAAACCATGTTTTTAAAATATTTTTATTGTAATTGCCTAGAATTGTTGGGAATTGGGCAGAATACAAATTGAAATGATGGTAAGAAAATATCCTCTATGAGAATTGGTGGAATTTAAAGTCCCTCACCCCCATTTTCCAATTGATTTGTGTCTAACCACATCAAAAACTAGATCTTGCCTGTGACCTTTCATGTACATCAGGCTCTTAATTAGTTGGTCAGGCCTGTTGTTGCTGTGGTTAAGAACTCCTGGGCTGCATCAAGACCCTAACAGAAGGGAAGTTGAGTTGAAATTCCCCAACCTTACAATCCTTGGGACTGAAAGAAAAAAGGGGAAGGAATGATTTAACATAGGGGTGTCAAACTAGCATTGTCACGGTGTCATCATGTGACATATCGTGATTTTTTTCCCCTTTGCTAAACCGGACCTGGGTATGGCCAGTGCGTGATGCATCTGACTTGTAAGCCGCAAGTTTGACAGCCCTGATTTAACATATTTCAATAAGCCATAGCTTGTCAAATGAACTACATTGTCTACATAACACCAAATCCCAGTCTTTGATTTACCAACCACAGTAGCCAATCAAACCATGATAAGGCTTAGTGTGTTATACAAGCTCAGAGTCTCTGTCCTAGTTATTGACTCTCCTAGCTATTGACTGTTTAGCTAGCTTGCTGGATGACTACTCTTTCTATTACCTGGAGTAAAACTATCATTTGTTGGAGGTTGCTGTAGTTTTTTTCTTATCCAAACAGATTATTCTTCTGTCACTCTGCAATGTTAGCATTTTATTGACGGGCTTCTTCAGTTCAATTAAAAAAAATATTCTACAATATGCAGTGGTATGTTAGATGAAAAAATCATAATTAGCAATATTGGGTTTGACCTCATTTATTTATTTCTAAAGTCCCATTTTTAGAATTAATGTGTTTTGTTCTGGTGATTGTCAAAAATCTCTTTACTATTTCCAGGATTCAGATGAAATCCAAGTTAACTATCCAGGAATGTTTGAAATTATGGCTGATCTACAAGGCAAGTTCCATGGTTTGTTTTTTTTAAAGAGTGAACTACCAGCCTGATTTGACTTTATTTGGAGACATAAATTAGGGTTTATTACTTTATTATTGAACTGTGAGGTATATTAATGGGAATGAACATGCTCTTTCAAGAGAAACTAAGGAAAAATATGTAAATATAGAAGTAATATACATTTCAGGACTTAGAGATGCATAATATAATTTACTCTTGCAGTTTACTTTTTCACATGCTGTTAAGATTGATAGTATACAGTTCTGCATATTGTGTTTAACTTATTCAAAGTCAAAAACAAAAAACTCTGTATGCTATGCTCACCTTTTTAAAATAGGTAGTAAATTCTGAAATTATGCCAAAGAGGTTAATAGTAAAGTGGTCAAATTTGGGGGTGGTGGTGGGTATTTTTGAACATCCTCCAAGTTTGGGGAGGGTTTTAAAAGTGAGAATTATAGCAATTTATCTCTTAGAGGCCACAGCTCCCCTTTCCCCGCTAACCAGCCCGTGGTCACATCTGGAGGGGTTTGGCAAAGGAGAAAGGGGCGTGGAGTCAGATGATAAAAGCATCATTGGGACATCAGCCCTGTTCATTTTCTCCAGGCACCACAGCATTGCATGTGTGCCCCCCCCAAAAAAAAAATATTGTACCCTGCAACACTATACCAGGGCAGTGTTAGCATCTCCTTCCTTCCTCCAGAAACAGAGTTGAAAAAACAGCTATATGCTGTCCCTTCCCTCAAAAGATGCTCACCTCTGACCTAGGGGGTGCCAGAGTGATTTTTTTAAATAAGCAAGCCATAGCTGTGACCCATGCATTCCAATAGACATTTTGTGGGTTTACATTGTAGATTTGTTGAAGGCCAATTTGCTGGCTGCATTTAAGCTAATCATATATATTAACACAACAGAGCTATCACCATACATCAAGTGAAGTAGCTTTTCATTTCTGCCCAGACTTGATTCACCAGAGTAATTTTGAATCACACTGAATCTTTTCTTCCCTTAAATAGTTGAAGGGAATGCTTTGCGAGCTGGGTTGTAACTGTCTTGATTAATCTGTACATTAAAGAGAAACATAGGTTGCAGTTTTAAGCACAATTAGTTGGAAATAAATTCCACTGAATTTAGTGGAGTGTATCTCCCAGGTGACATATAAACCATTGTCCTGTTGTAGAAGGAAGGTATGTGTATATATTTGAAGTTTTATGCTGCTGGTGTTCTGAAGGCATTTTCATAGAAAATTATTTACTGGCAAATCATATTAATTGTACTTTGCATTTTGTATAGGTCCCAGTTTTCGCTGGGTTCATTAATCTTAGTGTATATAAGTTTATAAGGAGGTTTTTGGGCTAAAGACTACATGCTGGGGCTGCAGTCCTGCATGTTAACCTCATTGTTGATGGATAAATTTGTCTTTGAGTAAGCAGAAATAAGATCTTTGGTGTTATTTTAAAACATTTGCACTCATCTGATCCTATTCATATTGCTGAAATATATTCAACTGATGGTGTATGCTGTATCTTCTTTTAAAGCCTAAAACTGTTTTTAGGTATGGGAGAAAGTAATTGCTGTTGGAACAGGAAACCTATGATACATAGAGCGACCATGTTGGCAGCTGCAGCAGTGTATAAAGGTATGAGCTTTCTATTAAGTAACACAGTGGTCGCCAATCTTTCTGGCTCTACGGACTGAGAGAAGCAGTGAGGGGGAGGGAAGCAGAGAGGATGGTTTTGCCTGTGCGCTTCGTTTTCACAAAGGCAGCTTCGCACATGCACTTACCCATCACTTCCACAACTCGCTTCCAAACGGGTTGCGGCCTGTCACCAGGCCACAGACTGGAGGTTGGGAACCCCTGAAGTAACTCATCTTTATCACATGGAAGTAGATTTTGTCACTCTACATTTTCCAGCTTACTCATTTCATGCAATTTTCTGTCCCACCATCTTTTTTGTGGTGCTTAAAAATTTGTGAAAAAGTTTGCTTTCTGTATGTGGTTTGCCTCTTCAGGCAGTAGTACATATAGTCCTTGAATTCTTTCAATTGGGGACCATAATGTTGATGACTAATGTGGTTTCCAAACAAGTCATTACCTGACTGGACACGATTTTATAACCATTGTAATGTGGTTGTTAAGCAGTTCACCATGGTCATTAAGCAAATCCAACTTCCCCAATTGACTTTGCTTGTCAGAAGCTGGCTGGGAAAATTTCAAATTGTGAACATGTGACTGTAACTTGCTGCAATTGTTGTAAATGCAAGCCAGTTAACAAGTGCCCAAAGTGAGATCACATGACCATGGGGTGGTGTAACAGCCATATCTTTGAGGATAGGTTGTAAGTCACTTTGTCTGAGGTTGTCATGACTTCATTGTTAAAAAAACAGTTGTAAATCAAGGACTAACTGTAACAACATTTCACATTCTTTTACCACACACAAATATGCAGCTTTGGATAATTTTCCTCAGTAAATAAATGAGCAAATATAATATTTTTGACTCATTTGTCTAATAAGGTTTTATTTATCAACTTTAGGATTTGTGTGGTGAACAAATCAGGTTTTAAGTCACATTTATACCAAAATATTGAAAATTCAAAAGGTTCACAAATGTTTAAGCACCATTGAATGTACCTTTCCAGCATAGGTGTGTAATCCACTGGCCCTAATACTAAAGGGAGAATGGAAAGCTACAGTCAGTAACACACGGTTATGATATAAAGTTGTCATTCTTTGTTGATTCTTCTCATTGACTGCCATTGTTATCAATGTTGTTATCACTGTTGTTAGCACAACCAGGGTTCAGCTCAGAGACAGAAAAGGGAGAGGAATTTAGGCCAAGAGGGGTGGTGTGGTTCCAATGAACCCATTGAATTCCCTTGCGTTCTCTTTTGACAGTTCCTTATAGTTGATAAATTTGCTGGCACAGGGACTTGAACCAATACATCTGAAGCATCAAGCTGTCTTGAATTGGATATAAACCACTTATTTTATAATGGATTAGATAGGTTTCCGCTGTATTCCTTTTTGCTGCAATGAAATAAACGCAAAATGTTTCTTTTTACAGAGTTGTATGGAAATAATGATGGGACAATACCCGCAACGTTTCAGATATATTATATGATAGGATGGAAATTCCATAAATCACAGGTAATATTTACTTTCCCTGTTATATTTACCTTCCTTTATTTAGCCACCCTGTAACATGTGGGGTGACTAAATAAGAGTATGTATTAGGGTTTTTAGTTGATTTTTTAAAAATAAAAATAAAACCATATTATTTTACTTAACACTTGCTTCTTAATATTTAAAACGGCAACTTCTTTCTCCTTTTCAGGCACAACCAGCAGAGAGAGGTTCTGCAACAGCATCATTTGGAGATCTGAGAAAAATAAATGAACTTATTTCAGGCAAAAAAAACACTTCGACATGAAATATAGTAATACAAATTGTACATAGCCTGTTGGATATTTAACAGTTATCATTTAACATTGACAAACAACATTATTTTCCCCAAAACTACTTCGGTGTCTAGGACAAAAAGGGGGCCTATATTCCTGTTTACCATGCAGTGGCTGTATTTTTATATGCAAATAGTAGTAGCAAAATTGCCAATTTGATCTGGGTACATCCAGAGAAATGATAGTGTGTATTTCTGTACACATATTACTTGCCTATGTGAAAATATGAGAGGTTTGGCTATTCAATAAAAGAATAAATGAATGATGGAGAGGAGACTTGGATAGTTGCTCCTACGAGTCCTGGAAGGTCAATTCTTTCTGCTGCAATGCTTGCACCCTCTGTGAGATAATGTGCCCTCTGTTATCTAGTGGGCTGTTTGATGAAAGCCATGTAATTCCACTATGCCAGGCCACATCCTTGTAGGACTTAAATTGTTGGCCAGGATCCCAAGGCTCATCAGTGAAGAGCTGAGATGAAATGTAAATGGTATACAGTAGGCTATGCTAAGAATAAAGGAATAGTGGGCTTCTATTTGTATGTTTATCCCATAGGTAACTATCACAATGACACCACATGCATTATCATATCATTAGAGAAATGTATCATTGCACAATGACATGTTAATTTGAGCCACTTGTAGAATATGATGCAGAGGCATTTCCCCACCTTGCCACCCCAAGGTGTCAACCAAAATAATAAAGATCCAGATGTTTTCTTGGTTGCAACCATTTTCTTTCAGAATAAATTTCTCAACTATCTAGAATAAAAGAGTTTTTTATGCTGCATTAGACAGTTATATCAGGCATGCATGCTGACTTGTAGCAACATTATTCAAAGATCTATCACTATTTATTTTAGCTTTTGCATTTGTTAAAATTGTTATTTTTTTCCAGTAAAAATATCATAAACCACAATACTTGGATTGCAATATTATGGCTTCAATGGTTTTGCAGAACTGCTACATTTAATTCCCCCTACTATATATACATGCATGTGTGCCTGTTGTGTATAAAATAAATCTTACGCTTCCACATTTAACTGAACCGTAGTTTACCAGAATTAACTCCACATATGATCTACAAATAAACCAGTCACATGTTAGCCTATTATGTTGTGAGAATCCAGCCCAGGTGGGGAGGGATAATTTGGAAGAGTTAATCAACTGACCTATATACTACCAAAACTCTTGTGTCTGTATCCTTTAACTGGGCGAAACAGTGCATCATAGAGCAACAATTTTTGAACCAAGGTACATCAAATGGTCTCACTTACAGATTGTGCCCAAAATACAAAACACATAGCAGCCATGGAATTGAAATCTGGCAAATGTTATAAAGCATTTTATGATGTAAAAATCACCATGGAACATTTGTGTGACATAATACAGTAATTTAACATAGAATATTATAAAATATTCCCTATGGTCAACTCATGTTTATGCTATGCAGTTCAACAAGGGGCTATTTTCAAGTGAAGATATAACTCTATAAACATTTCCCTGAATTTTCCAGTGAAAGCAGTACATCAGAAATTCTGCCATTATTGAAGGCATTGAGGAATTTGGGAAGAAAATATCCCTAAAACAATGGGTCACAGGTTGTCTAATTTTCTTTAAAATGAGGTCCATTTCACTTTTGGTGTGCATGGCAAGTTGGGATCAACCAGATGTATAATAATCCATAATTTTTCTTCCAATGTGGAGGAGATGAAATCACATAATGATATGGGGAAACTGATGTATGGAAGAATTAAATACTCAGAGATTGCTGGAAGGAACTCAGTGAAGCAGTTCTTCAGCTGTTCAAAATATTTAAGTTGCAGTATTGCTGAACTCTGAATGAATCAATCACACATCAAGATGGCCGCCTGCAACTGCATGCACTTGTCCTAAGTGTCTATTACTGCCTGTTTAGTTTCCATACTCTCACAATGCACAATATTATAGGTGTATAAACAATCTAAAGCTTCAAATTCCTTGTTCTAATTGGAAGGGTTTGGGTGATGGATCTGATTCTATCAAGACTATCAAGCCAAGAATATGGATGGAACACTTCTTTTCAAATTCAAAAAGTTTTGCACAACTGTACTCAAAATTAGTTTGGCTTATTTGGAAGTTAGTATATTGTGTGAATCCCATCCTTGTGCTTTTTTGTTATGTTATATGGCTTACCAACAATTGTATTTAACTTAATGGTGCAGAATGCCAGTTAATGCTACTGAGCTTGGAACAAGGAGACAAGAAGAAACATTTAGAATAAGTGTCTAAACACTCAAATAGTTGAAGCAAAATCCATTTGAGCATTTTAGATGTCCTAAATATTTGATCTTTTTACATTTTCAAAACTACATTTCAGTACTCCTATTACCCCTTCCAGAGGTGGGATTCAAATTTTTTAACAACCGGTTCTGTGGACATGGCTTAGTTAGTGGGCATGGCTTGGTGGTCATGTGACTAGGTGGACGTGGCTTGGTGGTCATGTTATTGGCTAGGTGTGGCCAACTCAATATCACTCACATCGAGGCACACATCTCCTTACCTGGCCTCATGACTGTGGGGAAGCTGCAACAGTTGTAAGTGTGAAAAATGGTCATAAGTCACTTTTTTCAGTGCCATTGTAACTTTGGTCACTCCACACAAAGTACCAGCAAAGGAGGAAAAATACCTCAAGACGGGAAGTCCAGTCCTGTCAAGAATGTCAAGGGTTAACAGAGAGGCAGTTTCTGTAAGCAACACCAGAATGTTTCCTCCCTGCCTTCCTTACAGGATTAGGCCAGTAATTTCTTCTAACAACCGGTTTTCTGAACTGCTTAGAATGTTAACAACTGGTTCTAGTGAGTAGGTGCGAACTGGTAGAATCCCACCCGACCACATCTTATTACTGTGCAGTTTTTATGGTTACATTCTGTTGTACTTAATTTCAGTCTATTGACCTGGTGTTCATCAAAGAGCTAAGGATTATGAACTAGAAAGAAATATAACAGCCAGATAATTATCTGTGGAAGCCTCTGACTGCTGTCTTATATTAGCAAAATGAAATTAAATGCAAGAATTATCCTTAGAAGGGCATGGTTGCATAGTTTGATTGGTTAAACTATAATATCCTTTCATTCACCTTTTGTACAGCTGAACTCAGGAGATGTGGATTCTTCTTCTGTCCTTTAATTAAACAGACTGGCCCAAATGTCTGTGGCCCAGTTTACATAATACTAAAACAATTAAAAACAGCTTACACGTTTGGGCTTAGTGTGATACACAAGCTCACTTATAGCGTTGTATTATATACAAACCAGGCTACTGTGGTATGTTCAACAAATTATGGTTAATAACTTCTCATATGCAATGTGTGAATCTTCATGCCACCAGTGTTAAGGTTGAAAATGATACCTTAACATCAATTGGACCCAATTTTTAATTGATTTGCAATCTTATGTATGCTATATATAAGTTGTGGTAAAAAGAATTAACGTATTGTCTTACCGCTTCAAATATAGTGCAGAAATCATGTAAAGGCTATTGCTTTAGGGGAATTGAGTGTTTTTAGAGATATATTACTGTAGTTTGACAAAATCAAGATTAGTTTCAGTCTGCAAATACTTCTTATGTACTGAACATATATAGTTATGTTAAATAATCAGAAAAATATGTGTTAAAAATGTAAAATAAAAAGCAGAATTATAACCTTTATAAATTATTGTTAGAAAAAAATTCTGCATAATACTTCTACAAGTCATTGAGTATGTCAAGGAGCTCAAGAGGTCATCTCTGAAACTTTCTCTGGTTTTTGAAAGTTCACTACATGTTATTCAAATGTGTGTCTGTATGTAGTCTTTTTCCAGAATAACACCTGGAATAATCAGATCTCAGCTTCTTTTTTTGAAGAAGAATAAGTCTCTGTTCCTTTATGTAGCCACTATTCTCTTGCCTTTTAATATTTGTAACCAATGAAACATCAGTCCCACTAAAAGGTGACATTTACACTGAATGGACTCACAGGTTTATTAAATCACAGTGTGATTTATCTGATTTTGGCTTAGCCTGCTTTGTAAGCCAGGCCATTCTAGGTTGAAGGCTATGATTTAGGGCAGAATGAAACACGGACTCCACTCCTACTACTTGTTCAGGAAGCCAGATTAAAACTAAGATGCATTAACATGCTAGAATGAAAGAGTCAGCAATGAATTCAAATGGGAAACTAGCTGTAGTAGGGTTGATTTCTGAAAATATCGCCATGCACTCACACACATTAAATAAACAAAGCTCTTCATGGCCTTCTGCATGTCAGCTGGGTGTAGATGACATGGTGTCTAGGGGAATGGGCATTAGTGTTTCTGGCTGTGAGAATTACATTGCAGTGGGATCCCCTATCAAAGTTTTTTTTCCTTATTAAGAGCATAAGCATGTATATCTCATGAGCCATTTCAGGATATCTGGCTGATGCAAAGATGGAGTATGAAGGGAGCTGCTAAAAGGAAGAATGTCAACAAGACAGACCTCTAGGATGAATGGGAGTTCTTGTGTATCTTGGAACTTGCAAGTTTTCTTACTTGTTTTTCCTTTATTTTCTCCTGCCACTGCTACTCATTCCTTGAATATTTTAATGACTACTGAGCCTGTGACTATGTGCTAAAAAGGACCACTCATCATAAAATCTGATTTGAGTTAGGAATTGACCAGCTTAAGCATGTAATGAAAGCAAAATCATTCCATTAGTGTGAAACACCGCAGAACTGGGAAAGGGAAGGAATGAAAGGAAAGGAGCAATGAATCACTGAGGGAGAAAAAAAATTAACTCAGACCCGAGAAACTAAAAAGCACAAGAAAGACATTAATTTTGTTCAGTATAAATGGGATAGAGAAAAAGTTTAGTTAGCTTTCAGTTGGCATATCTTGTAAAAGAGTAACCTGGACATTTCATTTACCAGGACAAGTAAATAGGACCATAAAAATTTGAGTATATGGTTTCATTTATTTGGATAAATGTAGAATCCATAACAGATATTAGAATCTGAAACAGGACAAAATGGGAGTATTCATTCCATGGATCCCTTTCATAAATTCATGAAATCATCCTAGATTTAGGATCTTCTCAGATCTGGCTTTTGACTGGAGTGTTTTTCATCTGAGTTGACCTTTTCCACCATCGAGTAGATTACCAATAGCAGATTAAACTTGAATAGTTTTTGGTCTTACCTAAAGATTTCAGTCCTTGATACAAAAATTTCAGGCTACTTGTTACAGAAAGAGGAAAGAACACAGTCTATCGCTCTTGGTACTTCTGAGGCCTAAGCTGTTCATTTTTGGAAATTTGCAGAAATGGTAAGACTTCTTCTCTGAGACTACAGAACTATCTCCACACAATTTCAAATGTGTTTTTCAAAATTAGATTTTATTTCATTTTGTTTAATTAACCCAATTGCCAGGGATTGCACAATACATCAAATTGCAAACTAGACCACCTCATTTTTTTTTAAAGATGTGTGAAACCCAACCTATGAAAGCCAATCTAAGAAGCTAGTACCTGTATCTGGTGACTGGGATCATATCATATAGTAAGACATGATGAGATCTGTTTAGTGCTGGCTCAGCATGATGGTGAATCCAGTCATCGGATCATCTGGTCTACTTGATGCTGTTTTGGAGTAGCAACAATGTTCCAGGAATTCAGGAACAATATTTTCTGTCCTAATTAGTGGGTTAAATCTTACTGTTAAATTTCAGGACCAAGGTAGTACTTTTAACTTTATAGAGTAAAAAAAACTTAAAGTGGCATTTTCAAAAGACAAGTGATTTAATTTCAGAGTTTGAAAGATGTTTCTGCCTAATAAATTGGAAGGCATAAGCTAAAACATATAAGAAGATATTGCAGATAATGTTGATAAAATTTTATGAAGATGTATTTGTGCCAAATACCTAAAGTATTTGAATCATGTGGCTTTCACACAAAAGTTTTGAATGTACTTGTTTGTACAGTAATATAGAAAGAGGAGACTGACACCATTAAAAGTCTTTTAGTATACTTTAATTTCTTATTAAACAAAGGCTTTAGAAAATTAGAATTTAAAATCAGTTTAGATAATAAAAAATATGAACTAATACTATTCAGTTTTGCTGATGGGCTCTTAACAATATCACTAATGCAAACAGGAATATAATCATAAACATATCCCAATATATTCTTAGCAAACCATCAAATACTGTCAGTTTCCAGATTGCAGTAAGCTGTTGAAGAGAAGGAAATAAAAAAATGTCCATATGTGTGTGCATATACAAAAAGTGCTTCTTATGGATACATTTTGTACTATGGTCTTACTTTTTTCCCTTTTAGCTACTACAAGTACTTTATTGGTGCTGTGAAAACCCAGCAAGATATATTTCTGACTGGTTAACTGGTTAAATGCAACCTTTTGCTGAGAATATATATTCCCACTGGTCTCAGTAAGTCTTCCTTTTGTGTAAATCATGCTAAGATTGCAGTGTAATATCTTTCCAGAAACGTTTTAATACCTCCATAATGCCCTTGGTTGCACTGATTTAGAGGTTCTAGAATTTATTCTTAATTTTCTTCCCAAAAAACTATTTGGCTGCAATAGCTTTCTTTCTTTTTCCTTTCTTTTCAACGTATACTTATCTTTTATTCCTTTTACTAAAACCCTGGCTGGAATTTTATATTTTTATTAGACTGCTGGAGCTTCTTTGTACCATTTTCCTTGTTTTCTCTTTCAAATGCCTGCCTCCCCTCCAACTTTCATAATTATGTATATAACTGTAATTTTTCATGCTGACTCTGCCCATCCCTTGAGTATTTACATTTCAACAATGTTCAAGCTCTTTTGAAATGCATCATCCTTTTACTTTGTATGCATCATCACCCACAGTTAGTGACTGTTCCTTTCTGTGCTGCAAAGGAACTGTCAAATCTTGGGTTGTAAGAAAGGACCTCTTCTGCAACGCCTTCCCACCTACCAATTTCCAGGAGGGAAAGATCAATATACGTAGCAGATTAATGTATGAACTACTCCAGTGACTCCACAAATATCTTTCTGTTCCTGGCCTAGCATAATACGAAGTCATGGTATGTAAAACCATGCTTAGGAACATCGCACAATGCACTAGATACATCATGGTCTACAAACCATAAAAACAAATCTACACATGAAACACAGACAGGAAATGTGCTAAAGTCCATTTTTGCAATATGAATGTGATAATATGCTCTTCCCCTGTACTCATTTTTATATACTGTGTAATTTCTCACTGACACTGACACCATCCTCTGTGCTTTTACATCCTAATCATCTTTCTTGAAGCTATTGCTTATGCCAGGAATAATCTCAGTCTCTTTGTTTTCCTTTAACACCACAAATTCATTTATTAATTAAAGGTGTTAATGAGATGTTAAAGCCTTGCTTGATCCTTCATATGATTCCCTTCAACTTAATATAGTATAAATGTCAACTTCCTTCCTTGCCTTTCTTTTATTGGGCATCTAATGGAAACAATAAAGGCATTGTTGATTGCTGTTTTGACAAAAACCTGACACGTTGGTTTAATATTTAACAATAATGTCTAACAATCTGTCAGCTTTATATAGTGAGTTATCAAATACACTAACATGAGAGGCCATATTAATATTAAAACTAATGTGCATATTTCCTAAATATTGTTCAGTGATTTTTTTTATTAGTAAACAATGAACATCTGCTAATATGAGTAAGTGGTAATACAGTAATCATACATCCACAGCCATACAGATTTGGAATGCAGTTTTCTCAAGCTTTTGCTGTCATTTGCAGCTTTACCTTAGTATACATAGGAAAGGTGTTTGCCTATCTGTAGGTTTCAGTTTGGTTTTTACACATGTTCAAGACAGCAGGTGGATGTTGGCAGATATGCCAAATACTTTTTTTGAGATCATCTACAGTTTTTGTTATCTGCTGTGGCAATATTATTTGCAGTATATCTCAGTTTTGGCATTTAACATTTAAATTAAACATCACCATTTGTTTAATACCAACCTAGCTTTAAAAACAGCAAGTATTATAAATGGAAAGCAACAACTATTTCATAAAGGAAGTATTCTGGAACAGCTAAGACTACAAGACCTGGACTTCAATGATTTGGACAGCTACTAATGACATCAATATATATATATATATATATAAAATAAACAGCTAAATCCAGTATTTCTCTGGAGTTTTGATCCTACAGTCATACAGCTAATATTATTATAATGTTTATATAAACCAGACTTACACTGAGAAGTGGCAGATATGTAAGCACATGCATAGTCTCAAGTTTTACATATGCTAGGAACACTGGCATGACAGCATCTGGGGTGGTTTCAGCTGCCAAGTCATACCATCTTCTAGCTAAATGTATATCCTAAACATAAAAAAAAATATTTCTAAGAATAGCAAATTGCTTTGGTAAAATAAAGCAACTGGAAACTACAACTGATAGTTTTACCTCTACATAGACATATGCATATATTTTCTAGAAAGAACACAATTATAGAGCTTTTTTAGGGTCATTTTGTTTGTGTGTCCTGAAGAGACAGTGTTGGATATGAACCAAAGACCTTAAAATGTTTCATGTTGAAAAACATCAGACAGCAGAAGGTTCTAACTATGAGTCATTACTTACTTGAATTCTATCATTATTTTCTAGACATGATTTAGATAAAGAAATCAAGAGCCAAAGCTCTACAATTCTACAATTCTCATTTGGGTGATGGCTTTCCCATTGCTAATGTTCATTCTTTACAATTTCAGGACACAAAATAGTGATTCCTGTCTGGGAGAAAAAAAATGCTTCTACACAGAATGAAACGCTATATTCGGGCAACACATTTTAGGTATCACGAAAAAGCCTTGAATTGTTAAGTCATTCCACTGAAATGCCAGGAATGGGCTAAAATAACTTTTCCAAGTCTGGCTATGATGCCTATTCATGTGGAATAGGCTGCAAAATGTTGTAGGGCAGTCTTAAGCCTTTTCTCAACTAGCGATCTTCCAAAATACTGGATGTATTGGTCTATAGTTCCCATAATTCCCAGCTAATATGGCCAAAAAGCACTGGGTGAAATTAGTGGGGGAAGGATTTTTCTGAATGTTCAGTTCTCCATGATAAAATAAAACTAATTTCTACTCTACAATCTACTAATTTGTATTCTATAACTGAACTTGCAAATGTCATGGTACACTTATTTCTTAATGCTTTATATTTTTTATAGTCAACAAGTTATCATTAACATTTTAACTTATAAAAAAACCAGCTGGTTTTCAACTGATTAAAGCTCATCATATTGCATTAGAAATGGTTTTGTTTTGCAATATTTAAGTAGAATATTTACAATCAATATTAACATTAGTGTTTCAAACAACCTCAGGCGGTAGGTTACTTTACCTGAGGAACGCCTAAACCATGCTCATACATGTATGCCAGATTGAACATGGCTTCAGCGCTGAGTTGATTTGCAGCAAGAGTATAGTAGGTTACTGCTGAAACATAATCTTTTGTTGTTCCAAAGCCATAGAAGTAATAATCTCCAATTTTAACTCTGGCAAATATATTGCCTGGAAAACAAATACATGGAAAGGATAAAGGTGATGATGACGGTGGTGGTGATGGTGATGATGATGATTTTATTTTGTATCCTGCACATTATCTATAATCTTGAAATGATGACAATAAACCTTTCACAATCAATTTTTCCACTGTCTTTTGAAGAATCTTGGGAAAATGCAAACATATGTCCCACCTGGGTATTTTAAATTATTTATATTCTATCATTCTATCTATAGGGATTTGAAGACAGCTGAAGACAGTAAAATACATAAAACAAACACTTGAAATATAAAACAGTTAATATCTCCATAATTATCCCTAAGAGCTTGTGTAGAGAGACAAAAGTGGGACTGGGTCTATTATCTGACTATAAGTGTATTTCATGGTTTGGAAGCAACTCAGGAAGAGAATTTGTTCCAGTTGATGTCGCAGTGCTATTGGATGCGAGGAGCGGGGCTCCGCGAAATTGTGCCAAATCCCTTCATTGGAAAGTCACCCTGTAGAGGTGATGAAGATTGGAGGGATGCCCTACAGCTCACAGAGAGTGGAATCTCTCCTGCTTGACCAAGGGCTAATTCTCTCTCATCTGATGATGAAGAAGAGAGGCAGCCATTACGGCTGTCATGAAGCTGGGGCAGCCGAAGAAACAAAGAATGTGCTGGAGTGGCGTAGATGAACAGTGACTGTAACTAGGTGAGGTTTCTTTTTTTCTTTTTAACCTAAAACTTACCCTAAAGAAAATAAATTATGGAAAGGAGACTTTTGAAAAGTTTGTTTAAGTGGCGAACAATCACAGAGAGAGAAATCACAGTCAAAGAAATAAAAGAAAAATATTCTAAAAGGAGAGCGCAAAACCATTAAAAACAGAAAAATTGGATTTCTAATTTTTATTGACAATAAGGCATTTTTAAATGCTGGAATTATTTGTCTGAATTTTGATTATTTGTCTGAATAAATTCCAACAGAATCTGTCAAATTTTGTGCAACATTGAAAGTTAAGCTGAAGGCACCACCTACTGGTGAATGGAATAAACATTATACTCCTATAACCCTGGGAAAAATACTGATAAGACATAGGAGAAAGTCAAAATAAATAACACCTGGAGGTACTTGATAAACAGAAAGATATTCTTGAAAAGAAGATAGAAATTTGGAGAGACCCTCTGAAGGCTTGGCAGCAAAAGATAGTAAAGATGGAAGAAATATTTAGGTTAAATAGGAAATACATGGAGATGTAGTTAGAGATAAAGACCCAAGGGAGGAGTTTGGGAGGCAAGTCAAAAATGAATAAGAATTGAAATATTAAAATGAACAAGACATGATGGATAGAGGAAATGTTTTATAACATAAGATTGGCTTTACTAGGAGCTAGAACAGAGGCAGAAACAAGAAATAGCAGGAATATTATTATACATATACTAAAAGTAATAGCTAGATGTAAATATTAGATGTTGAAAGATGGTGACACTATGCATGTTTTAAGGATATTGTTGTTGTCATTAGAAGGGCTGACTGATGCTGATTAAATAATGAAGGCCTACATTTTAACACAAATATGTATAACATTACAATTACATAGATATGATTTAAGTAACAAATATTAACACTACTATTACTACTTGTACCCAAATGAACAATACCCAGATGCCTCACTGTTCATATATTAATATTGATGTATATTCAAATTTTTTTAAAAAACTTTACAAAAAAAGGAAGAAATTTGTTCCATGTGCCAAGGAGATGTCCGAATCAAAAGGTGAGAACCTGTTTAAGGTTGCTGGCTGGCCTTATAATCTTAATGGTTTCTTTTCAAGATGGACCTACTGATAGGGAGTAGAATTGACTTATTCTCTCTCCATATATAAAATTCAATTCCATTTAAATCTATAAAGTCCTCAAACATCTTTTTTGATTTCTGAAAACGTTAGGCTTTCAAAGCAAACTTACAGCAGAGTAATTAAATTATATTTATGTTGTAAATTTTCAACAGAACTTATCATTACATGAAAAATAATCTATTTCATAAAGTACAACTATTGTAATATATATGATAATTTTGAACAGTAGTTGGTAGAATTCAACTCTTTTATGCAAAGGAGATCATCTTTTATCACTTGCAATTCACAGAATCTACATCGAGTGGAGAGGGAAATCATCAAGCATTGTTTTATTTTATGATCAAACAGTAAAGCAATATTGTTAATATAAAATCTATTAGGCAAAGAACATTGGTAAAATGTTCTAGCCCATTGTGGGGAGGGGATGAAATTTGACTCTCTCTGGTAATAGAAATGTAATGGGTTCTTTACTATGAGTTGGACGTCACTTGATTACATGAAAATAACCACAAAATCTTTTGGCAATAATGTGGAAGTGGTTTGCCATCTCTTTATTTCAAGCAGGCTGGCATAAATTAAATCTAAGACAGTGTGGCAGGTTGATAGCACTTGTCTACTTAACTTCTATAAAATGTAGTCACCATCAGGAAAAAGGAAGAGACATACTATAGTTGCTGTGTTTGAGCAAGAATTAAAGATACATAGCTAAGTCTTCATTCTTCCATAAGTTTATTTCTGTGCTCTGAACACTCACAAAGAGAGTTTAAGAGGCAGGTCAAGGAACTGAATAAATAACTTCCTCTAACAAACAAAACATTCTTTTTTCTGATAGAATGAAATGACTTGCATGATTGAAATAATAATAAAGTAAGCAACTTGAAGCTTTTAAGACTATCTTCTCCATACTAAAAATAAAATGGGAGGCAATAAGTCATTAAATGAAAATTGACTGGTACTGTTTTTTTATCCCCCCCCCCTCCCGAATTGATTTCAACTTGGTTAAAATGGTATAATTGCGAAAATAGGCCAAATAAAAACAAGCAACAATGACCAAGGAACAAACTCCAAACAGGCGTATGGTTGTTGTTTTTTAAATATGTTTTCTTTTCCTTCTTGCTGTATTTGGTTTTCATTTAATTTTTATCTCTAAGCAGCTTAGACTCACTAGACACTTGGGCAGACTCAAAACTGAAACAAACAAATAAAAATATAACCTTTTTAACATAAAATGAGTGTCTGAGAAAATGCTTACAAATATTGTAGTGTTGTTGGCATATTCTGCATCCCAAATACCTCATGTTTCTTTGGGATGGCTTAAAATAATAATGCAAGAGTGCAAAAGATGATTAGGGGACTGGAGGCTAAACCATATAAAGAACGGTTGTTAGGGATACACCCTAGCAGAATCTGCACAGCAGTCAGGCAGGCAGGCAAAATATGTGAGATATATGTTTTTGTAGCTTACACTCAGTAAAACAGATACACAGTGCTAATTAAATAGTTTTATTCCAGTAAGAGTTATAGCATAGTCAAACAGTCCATATATCATTCACTAATTCAGTCCGTCCAGGGATTATTCAGTTGCAAATTCCAGTGTCGAAAAAGAGAGGTCAGTAAACTTACAAATATCAGTCCAGTAATATATCTCCTTGCAGTAGAGATATGAAGAACTCAAAAAACTCCTCTCTTCCTTCAGCAACTCAGCAGTAGGGGAAACACGCAGTTAACAAACCATCAGTCCATGCAATCCAGTAATTGTCAGCAATCAATCAGGTTCTCTTGCTCCTTCTTATGGTGGTTTCACACCACACCCAAAATTACATGCTTTGCAGTTTTAAAGTGACACACACTTAAACTTACAATCATAGTTTATATATATTATTTTACCCAAACTACGTTAGGTAACCTATGTTATTCCTAACAACGGTTGCTGGAATTGGATATGTCTAGTCTTACAAAAAGAAGGACCGGGGTGACATGATAGCAGTGTTCTGATACCTCAGGGGTGGCCAGAAAGAAGAGGGAGTCAAGCTATTCTCCAAAGCACCTGAAGGCAGGACAAGAAGCCATGGGTGGAAACTACTCAAGGAGAGAAAAAACACAGAACTGAGGAGAAATTTCCTGACAGAACAATTAATCAGTAGAACAATTTGCCTCCAGAAATTGTGGATGCTCCAACACTGGGAGTTTTAAAAAAGAAATTGGACAACCATTTGTCTGAAATGGTATAGGGTTTCCTGCCTGAAAAGAGGTTGGACTAAAAAACCTCCAAGGTCCCTTCCAATTCTGTTATTCCGTATTCTATAATCATTTCTTACAACTTATCTGCAGGGGTGGAATTCAAATTTTGTAACAACCAGTTCTGTGGGTGTGGTTTAATTTGTGGGTGTGGCTTGGTGGTCACGTGACTGGGTGAGTGTGGTTTGGTGGTCACATGACCGTATGGCCGTGGCTTGGTGGCTATGTGACTGGGAGGGCGTGGCCAGGTGACTGGCAAACCAAATACAAGTGGTCCTCGCTTAATGGCCGGTTGCTTAGCAAGGGTTCTAATTTATGACTGACCTCCCCAGAGCTACTTGACCTGTTTTTGGAGTTTTGACAGCCATGCACACACACACACACACAGACACACACACACACACATTCCCTTCTAACCCCGCTATTCTATGATTTTGTAAGGCTCTCCTGCTGGAGCATGGGGTTGGACTAGATGACCTCCGAGATCCTTCCAGGCCAGCCCTAAATTGCTGTGCTGCTTCAAAGAGTTTTCTGAAGCCAGGGTTTGTGTCCTTCCTTCCTCTCCTTTTCTTTCTCTCTCCCTTCCTCCCTCCTTCCATGTATTTATTTATCTATCCATTCACATATCTCATTCACTTTCTCCTCTCTCCCTCTCTCTCCTTCTTTCTCTTTTTTCTGTCCCTTCCTTCCATCCCTCTCTTTCTTTGTCTATCCCTTTTCTTCCTCTCTCTCCCTTTTTCTTTCTTTCCCTTTTCTCTTTCTTTTCTTTCTTGTCTCTTCTTCCTCTCTTTCTCTCTCTCTTGCTTTCCCTCTCTCTCCCCCTCTCTTTCCCTCTCTCTCTTTCACTCTCTCTTTCTCTCTCTCTTCCTCTCTCTTTCCCTTTCCCGCCCCTCTCTTCCTCTCTCTCTTCCTCTCTCTCTTTCCCTCTCTTTCCCTCTCTCTTTCTCTTTCTCTCTCTCTTTTCCTATTTCTCTTTTCCCTCTCTTTCTCTCTCTTCCTCTCTCTCTCTCTCCCCCCCTCTCTCTGTCCCTTCCATTCCTCCTTCCCTCTGTTCTTCTAAAGCTAGGACACCCACCTGAAACACATGCACACACACACACACACACACACACACACACACACACACAAACACTTCCAATATTGCTTGTTAACTTATGTCCTTTTTTGCTAGTCTCCTAGAGTCCCAGGGACCAGGTATGATTGTCTGTTCATACCCGGTTCCGTGTTGCCCCCAAAAGCCTGCAGACAAGGCTTCTAGGTCCAACAAAGGGGCCGGGGGTGGGACTTCCTACCCTCCCTCAAGTGCCCACCCTGCTGGCATCCCGACTGCCTGCAAACTTATCTTCCTCCCGTGGCTGGTGGCAGAGGGAAAGGTGAGCCAGCCAGGGCAGAGCCGTTGCCACTCGGCTGCCCACCAGCCCACATCTTGTCCCCCGCTGCTGCTCGGATTCTCTGCAGCTGCTGGGGCTCACAGCTGCCAGAGAGATGCAAGAGGCAACCAGGAACATGTGTCCACCCACATCGCCCCTCTGCCAGCTGTCCCTCCCTCGCCCAGCCAAGCATTTTAGCCAAGTGTGGGCCACCACTCACACGAGGGTTGACTTGCACCACTCTCACAGAATGAGGCCCGCATTTAGCCAAAGCGCACAGGCCGGTGGGTGGCAGAAGGAAGGGGCAGCAGACAAAGGGGCAATGGGGGCCCAAGCAGCATAGAGTTGTGCTCCCTGGTCGCCTCCCTGCCCCTAGCAGGCAAGGCCAAGCAGCTGCAGAGAATCCAGGTAGGGGATGAGATGCAGGCTGGTGGGGACCCGAACGGTGATGGTTCAGCCCTGGCTGACCTTCCTCTCTGCCACCAGCAAGCCAGGTAAGCTGGAGGCTGGGGACGGTTGGGGGGAAAGCTTGTTAGGCCACGAATGCTTCATGGGCAGCGCTGGCAGCTAAGCAAGACAGGCAAATGGGGTGGGAGTGGAAACCTTGCTAGGCCAGGAGTGCTGCATGGACAGCGCTGGTGGCTAAGCAAGCCAGACAGGGATGGGAGGGCAGCTAGCTATGCCACAAGCATTGAGGGCAGCCCTGGAGTTGGGACTCAACCTTGTGGCAGCGGTGGCAGCGAGGGCAAGGGCGGCAGCAGTAGCATGGTGGTGGCAACCTAGGTTGGCCTAGGAATCGGGTCTCAACTGGGGCTGACTGCAGCGGCAGCATGTAGGCGACCAGGGTTTGCAGAGCCTCACTTACTTAGGGAGATCATGGTGGAAGGCAGACAGCGATGGCGGGCGGGCAAAGGCAGACTGCAGGCAGTGATGGTGCATTGCCGAGATAAGGAAGGGCAGGTAGGGTTAGAATGCAGTCAGCTTGTCGTGCATGCATGCGATGTCGCACATGCGTGATAAGGACTGACTGGGCAGGGAGGGGAAAAGGGGGTGGAGAGGGGTGGGGCCAGCCAGGGGCCCATTTTACTGGTTCTCCAAACTACTGGGAATTGTAACAACCAGTTCTACTAAACCAGTCTGAACCGGTAGAATCCCACCCCTGCTTAGCTGTAAAAGCCCAAAGAGAGCAAATTAATAAAACAAGATTGCTTTTAACTCTGTTCATACCTTGACTTGCAGCTTGCTTCAATAAGAGAAGAGCCAATGGATACACTTGATTTCTATGTAGAAGTTTAACTTTTTCTGTAACAAAATTGTGGCGTCACATATCTTAAGGCAATCCATCTATTGCAGAATGCAAGAATGAGCAGAATAGGCTTGTCCCTTACCAGATTCCATGATGTAAGCTGAATTAATCTGAGCTTCTTCATAGCCCATTTCAGCTAAATAGGCATATTGGACAAGAGATGAGTCAATATTACCAGACTGGTAAGCAAAATATGCTGTCCGGAACATTTCTGACCATCCTCCTAGCTCACATACAATTTTATAAAGCTGAGGAGCACAAAAAAAAAAGCTATTTAAAAAAACCCAGCAAATAATGCTTGGAGTATCTGGTATCCCCTGTCTTGATTAACAAAGCTTGTGTTTATTTCCTACCTTTCTTGCAGGGAGCTTGAGATCAAATAAATGGTATACACCCCACTTTACAAATAGTTACACTGAAAAAGAGTGATGATCTACTGGAAGTGATACCTGGAAGTATAGATTCGAGTGAAGATGTCTCTGTGTCAGCCCTTCAAGGTAGTTCAGACAAGAAGCATCAACCAAGAGTATAAAATATTAGCATTACCTTTATTGTAAGGTTACAGTAAGTCTGAAAGCATCTTTCCTCTCCTTCACGTTTATTCTTTCAAAAACTAGGGAGGGTCCCTTCTGAGATGCTTTCTCCATCCCCATCTCTACTTCAGATTCAGATTTTGTTCATCAATTACTTTCTGATCCAAGATCAACCCTCTAATCACTACCCAGCACTGAAAAACTAAAGTTGAAAAAAGGCTTGCTTATGATAGCGAGCTGTGGTGGTGCAGGGGTTACAATGCAGTATTGCAGGCTAACTACTGACTGCCAACAGTTCGATTCTCACTGGCTCAAGGTTGACTCAGCCTTCCATCTTTCTAAGGTGGGTAAAATGAGAACTCAAATTGTTGGGGGCAGTATGCTGACTCTGTACACTGCTTAGAAAGGGCTGTAAAGCACTATGAAGCAGTGTGTAAGTCTAAGTGCTATTGCTATACTTAGATAGTTTTATATTAGCTACTTTTTAAAAAAATACTAAAAACATTATGTGATATAGCATTGAATAAATTATGACTATCGCAGATCAATGGAAATTAAATATAACTAAACCCCCCAAACCAAACAATACGGAAGTATACAACCTAAGCAGAATGACACCATAGTGGCTTTAAAAAGGAAGAGTCATTTTCCAGGTAGTGAGTGAACAACCATTACCTATTCTCAGGAGCGGAAAAAGAATATGTCACTGCATAAACTGAATGTTCCTCTTTAAATGAAACTACAAATACAGCCAGTAGACTTTTCCGCAAGTAATATTTCAGTCCAGTAATACAGCCTTCCCAACCCTCCCCCCCATGAGAATTATGGAGAAGATAAAGGAAGCAGCTTAAAAATAGATGTCCCTTCCTATAGTACACCTATAAAGGGAATTTGTGTAAGTTGGAAGTCATCTAATGGGCCTTATTTCCCAACGCAGATACACAGATACACAGTGTAAATACAGTTGCCCTGATTGCTGTAGTGTTTAGTGTTCCTGTTCCTGAACATTGCACTAGACACTGTAGAACAATTCAAGGCAGAACATTTCAGGGCTAAATTTGGTAGAAAGGATTCTCCCTACATCCCAAAGCATCTTCTAGCTATTTGGATCCTGTTACAATAATCTGATTTTGTTGTATGGGGTTTATTCAAATAGTCGTATGTGGGTGAGATGCCAGTTCCCTCCCCCCCCCCCACAATAACAATTGAAACAGGACAGTAAGAGAATATGACAACAGCTGTTGGTTCAATTACCTGTAAGAACATTATGGTTAAGCAGATGGTTGCTGCTACTTACGTCAACTGCTTTTTGACAGGATTTAAACACTCCCGTTCCTTCAGCATACATCTGAGCCAAATAGTATACTGCAAGGAGATGGCCATTTTCAAATGCCAAGTCAAAATATTTGAAGGCAAGTTTAAAATCTCTCCTCACTCCTAAACCACCTGAAACAAAGTTTAATTTGGGTGTTTTGGATTTTCAGTAGGAGAGAGGGAGGGAAGGAAGCAAGGAAGGAAGGAAGGGGGAGTTTATGACTTACCATGATACATGACTCCTAGCTGAAATTGGGCATTGTCATATCCTTTCTCCGCTGCTTTTTGAAAATACTGAAAAGCTTCAGTGTAATTCTGAAAAATAAGTAAACCTTGATGATTCAAAGTAGAGTTCTAATTCTTTTCTAGTTTTGTATTGCTTCATCAATGCGTCAAAAACTATTTAATGCTAAATTATTAGAAAACGGAGTATACAGAATTCAGTCCTATATTCAGAGTCTGTACACATTGACTGTTTTTGAACTCTTATGGAAGGTTGCCCTAGATTAGATTGAACTTTTCCCCCATGATTTTATTCATTAATATGTAGGATATGAAAGAGGCCTAATGAAATTAAAACTTACCAGTGGGACACCTCTACCTTTTAAATAAAGGATACCAAGCCCCCAGAGTCCAATAGAATTACCCTAAATAATAGGAAAGATAGTTCCATTTAGACATCGGATAATCTTCATCAATAAAACTGACTGAAGTACTAAATGATTGTTCATAGTTCTACCTTCCCCAATATTTGTCTTGATGAATATAAGCTGGAACCTCCCTGGAGCTCCTTTTCTGGCAGTGAAGCGGCAGGAATGTCCAAAGTACAAACTCTATTCAGAAGGTCCATGACTAAGACCCCCCAGTGCAATAAAGAGGCAGCCAGGATAGAAACAATCTGCTCCTTTCCTATATGCATGCAATGTAATAAAGCACATGCATATATAAAAGTGGCAGAGTTTGCTCTGTGATGTCACAATGCTTGTTTCATTGTTTGTCTCCACTTGCCTGTGAGGTAATACCCATGGTATAACCTTTGCTATGTTTACTATAACAGGAAGCACATAACCAATAACTGCAGGAGAACCAAGAGGAATTGAAAAGGCCCTTAAAAAACCAAAAACCAAGTGCCATGTCCTGTCCATTATCCTAACCTCCTCCAGAAAAAAAAAAAAACCCTATAATGACAGGGTGTCCCACAACGAAGACCTCTGTCACTTAGAAAGCAGAATTTCTTGATGTTATCTAACTTCTCAACTTTTACATTGATCCAATTCCTTTAGCTACCTGTGATCTTTTGAAGACCACGTTTCCTTCTGACACTAAACTTTATTATCTTTCTTACAAGTTCCTTTATATCGGTTTTCAATTAATTCTTGCCCACCGTACATTAAATAAACTATTTGCCTTTTCCACCATCCATTTCTGGCCCAATAGCATCAGATTTAATCTCAGTATTATTTTTATCCATATATGTTATGTATGTCCAGTAGGATTATTGGTATGGTGTTATAGAAGTTCAACTGTGTGCTCACAGTGTCAAGGTAGAAGTGCTACATTCACATAGGCTTTCATATTTCTCCTTTCTCGGCAAGACTCCTTAGGTAAATTAAAAGAACATATTTGCAAGTTCTTTGAAATCCACGCAGTTCAAGCAAATTTTTTTAAAAATTAATACATTACCTTATCTGCTGCCATGGTGAAGAACTTCAAAGCAGTAATATCACTCTGAGTCACAACACTACTTCCTTTTAAATACATCTGCATATATTAAAAGGACACAGCTTAGCTGATGGATATATAATACCTTCACAAAAATTCCCAAAGAAACTGTTATGCACTGTTCCTTTGTTTTTTTTTCTCTTCTGTATTTTGCAGCTGACCTAGTTTTATTTATAGGAAGCAGTAATAGGATTCAAATGTTTTGACTACCGGTTCTGTGGGCATGGCTTGGTGGCACAGGAAGGATACTGTAAAATCTCCAGGCAGAGGTGGCATTTCCCGGTTCTCCAAACTACTCAAAATTTCTGCTACCGGTTCTCCAGAACTGGTCAGAGCCTGCTGAAAATCACCTCTGATAGGAAGGAATAGAAAATAATATGAACCCAAACTGATTTCAGGAAACAAAATATGTACCTTTCCAACAAATGCCATCCCATATGCATTCCCTGCATTTGCTGCTTTTAGGAAGTAGTAGAAAGCTTTCTGATGAAAAAAAATAGCAAGGAAAAGTTAGCATTTCTATAACAATGTTCTTTCAGATTTGGGTTTTTAGTCTTTTTTTATAATTTTCACATACAAAGAGAAAAATAGGGAAAATGAGAAATTAAAATAATTTTTTTTAGAAAAATTTTTTTTTAATTAACTTTATTGAATACAAAAAATTAAAATATACAAATATACAGTCTCAAAAAACAAAGATTCATACAGTCAAACATTACCGTAATCTCTGTGCTAAAACTAATTAAACTTTTTTTTTAATACATTTGACAGTGAGTTAAATATTTCCTAAATTATATTATGTGGCAGTTATTTCTTACTTCCCATGGGTTCTCTGTTATTTATGCTTTATCAAACATAATGTTCTGTTGTTAATATTTGTTGTTGGATTATATTTATTTATTTTTACCAATGAATTCCTTCTATTGATTGTTTAAAGTACGAGAGAGTCTAAGACTGACATTAACGATTTCTGTTTGTTATTGTATGTATCTTAATCTGTTTCATAAATTTATTTTCCCCCCTTGATTCTCCTTTTCATTTTTTTTATGTTCTAGCCAATCATACCACTTATTCCAGGTCGAGTAAAATTCCGCCTCCTCTTTTTCTTTTCATTTTAGTGTGAGTTTTTCCATTTCTGCACATTCACAATTTTTTTGAATAATAAATTGTATTGGTGGTATATTAGGCAATTTCCAAAATTGAGCCAGTGAGATACGTGCCGCTGTTAGGATATGGATAATCAAATAATTTACTTTGGAGGGATAACCTTCCATAATGATACCCAGAAGATACAATCTAGGTTCCCACCCCAATCCACCCTGGACAATTTCTTCTAACCAAGTTTTGATTCTAATCCAAACATTTTTGACCACTGGACATGTCCACCAGAGATGGAAGTAGGTTCCCTTTGCATTTCCCTTTGCATTTCCAACAAGTTGGATTGGATGTTGGGTATATTTTTGCTAATCTGGAGGGTGCTAGATGCCATCTATATATCATTTTATATAAGTTCTCTTTATAAGACACAGATTTAGTTATTGTAAGATTTCTCTGCCAGATTTCTTCCCAGTCTTCTAAGTCTACATTATGGCCGAAATTTCTTGCCCACGTTATCATTGGTCCTTTCACAATTTCCTCTGCTCGTTATCTATTTTAATAGATAATTATATATTAGCAGCATTTGAAACCACTGAATTATTGTCAGTTTTAGAATCAGCGTGGGATTATTTTGAACTTGCAGTACATTTTGATAAATAATTAAAACTACTTATATTCAAATCCATTTCAATTAAAAACTACTGTCAGAGAAGATATACTGTTTCCAAGGACTTTAAAAAAAATAATTTTTTTTTATAATGATTGATCATTGGTCCTATTTCCAAATAGAAATGAAGATATGAGAAAGATTTAAAAGAATTTGGAATAAAATCAAAGAGTACTAAATTTGATAAGATACTTTTGGGCCCAGACAAAAATATGATATCTAAATTATATAATTATCTATTGGAATATGAATTAGCAGAGGAAATTGTGAAAGGACCAATGATAGTGTGGGCAAAAAATTTCAGCCATAATATAGACTTAGAAGACTGGGAAGAAATCTGGCAGAGAAATATTACAATAACTAAATCTGTGTCTTATAAAGAGAACTTATATAAAATGATATATAGATGGCATCTAGCACCCTCCAGATTATGAAATTAAGAGAGTTGGGGTTTGGTTCTGAGTTTTTTCCTCTCTCCCAATTTTAGGAAATCCCATTTCCTTTTGAAAAATTCAACTTGAAATATGATAGGAAAACAAAAGTCCAATGTTTCCTAGTATTTAAATCTGAGGTGGGATCCAAAAGAGAAGCCAAGGTTTATTCTTCTCAGATAATGCTGATGAAATTCCCCCATTGCCATCATTTCTCACATTGCTATTACTTCATTTGAAAAAAAAAAAAAAGCATAGCATTAACCTTTTCAACTGCATTTGGAACATACAAGAATTTACAAAGGGAACACCATCTTAAAAAGAATCTGTATATATGTTTACTGAATTCCAACTACCACTCATTAAAAATGTTTATGATTAGCCAGGATAGCCTTTAGATGGGAATTTCGGAGTTTTAATCTAACATTAGGATACTGGGATTAAAAAGGGGTGTTTTAAAATATATTAAAAATTGAGAATGTGCATATTAATGAATGTTAATGGAACAGTGTCCATCCCTGAAATCTGTATATACGTACAGCATGATCTTTTTCTAGTCCTCTTCTTCCCACAAGATGCAGCTGTCCAAGATATATCTGGGAAAAATGAATTGTTGGTATGCAAAGTGAAGAATGAACTATACATAATGGCAAAAGAAGACGACTCTGGAGAACTGTATGGAAATATGGTATCTCCACAGCAATTATATCCTGCAATTATACTAAGTAATCTCTTCATGGATCATTACCTTGTAAAGTTTGAAGGGCTTTATATAGAACAATGACATTATGAACTACATTAATAGAAATGCTTACTCCAGGAAAAAAAAAATACCCATAATGGGCAGGTCACAGACAAAAGATCAGGTTAAATATGAGCCAAGACAACCAAACAGATATTTACAATCAGAATATGATTCTGGAATAAATGGAATGGCCATCATAATTAGCATATGAGCGCTAAAGACAATGTCTACATACAAGCCTTAGTATTGTTGACAGAGGAAACAGTGCAATGACACGTAGTGATGATAGTGAATCTCCTTGAAATATGCCTCTCTTGATATTAACCTCTCCTAGTCTCTCACCATTGACCTGCAACTTACAGTCAGTCTTGTGATCTTCTTGCAGTAGTTAACTAGTTGGTCACTGTTTCTTCAGCTTCTTTGCATAGGCAGCACTTACTGTCTGTTGCTGTCTTCTTAATTTTGGCTTTGCATGAATTTGTTATTATTATTATTGCTATTATTGTTATCTATCTATCTATCTATCTATCTATCTATCTATCTATCTATCTATCTATCTATCTATCTATCTAT